ATTAAATTTTGATAAGACTTAATAAATAAGATTCGAGATTAAATTTTTGGGTACTTTAGGCATGATGTGAATAAAAACATATCAAATAATAGTCGAAGGGTAATGCTTATACCGAAACCCATTTACTTTGTTGCCTTTTCAATTTAATTAGTAATTAAAAAAACGACAGAAAAATTTCAAAAAATGATACTTTTTACCAAAAAAACATTATAATTTTAGTTTTGGTATTTAATAAAGCACTTCTCTGCAGAAAAGTGCTTTATTCAATATCCCTTATAAAATACTACTAAAGTATATGGCTACAAAGAAACAAACAAAATTTCTATTTGACATTTATCTACCGATGACTTTGTATGGAGTCCCTGTATATTTTTGACAAAAAACGCCAAAAATATACTGAACATCCAAAATAGATTAAAGGCAAAATAATTTAATAAATAATCAAAATATTAACAAAAAACTTACATTTTGAGATAATTGGGCAGAGCATTTTATTACGCAATTATTTCGAATCCTAGACGTCCTGGAGCAAAACGAGTGGCATTTTTGAAATCAGCAGCCCAAAATTAGGTAATATAGGTGGGAGTACTCAATGTTAGTAAATCGAACTATCATAGTGTAATTATTGATGTCGATCATAATTTTTGAATTATTAAATACATTTTTTCGCCTTAAAAGTGATAAAACGTGATAATGGTTGTGAAATGTATGGTTGTTGGGTGCGGAAATGTAACCAATTTGTAAGTATTGACTATCCTCCCGTCCTAAGCCAAAAAGAGTCATCTCATTATTAAATTTTTATCTACGCAAAAAAGACGCATTTTAACTATACATACATTTTTAAGTACTAAATCTCCTAAAAATTTCTAATTAAATTAAACGTATCTTATGAAAAAAAATAAAGCGCTATAATTTATAAAGTAATAATGTGAAGTTGCGTCTGTTTGGCTAAGCACGGCAGTATCGATAAAACATATTCATTTATACCGATTATGTATTTAATATGTACAAATAGATGTATGTATTTTATTTTATATTATTAGTGCAATAAATAAATCTTATATTCATATTTGTTTTATTTAAAATACAGCAGTAAATACAATATATAAAGGCACCCTTCTAAGCATCAACATTCAAATATGGCGCCAATATGTTACAGAAATCTACTTCAGTTTTTGGCATTGCTAAGGGTATTGTAGACCTAGATGGCGTTAATTTACTTTAGCCTTTTGCCGCTAGCGCTACTAGCGCTGCGCTAGTGCAGTTTCCAATCTATGGGGTGTATTATCTTTGGGGGGACCCCTTATAGGTGTAAAATTGAAAATAATATAATCCCTTGAATTAATTATTATTTCTAAAGTAACACCTTGAAATGAATTATATTTATTTTTACACTAGTAGGTTCCTAAAACTTGGTCTTTACTAAGGTTGTCAGGTTTAGAAGTTACAGGACTGTCGTATGTTTAAAAATATTTAAAATCTACTATCCTTTTTTTTTACTTTTGATGTCGAAAATTTGGCACCTCAAAAACTCTTATGAGCTCTTAATATTAATAGCAATTTTTTATTTTCACATCAGTGTATGAAAAAAAAATTATATCTCACTAACAAATGAATATACAAGGTGTCCCTAAACTTAGTGGCATAAATTTAGGAGCAGATTAAGCAAGTCAAAATAAGACGAAAATCTGAATAAATATTTTTCCCAATTACGTAGGTATGTTTAAAAGATACAGGGTGATAAAGTGTTACTTATCATATTAGTTTTTTTAATATAACTTCTAATATGGTAGACTTGCAAAGGTGATATTTTGCGAACAGTCACTTACTAGCAAAACATATATTCACACATAATTACAATTGTTTGAGTGAACACAGTGTCGTAGAAACAGGGGTTGCTTAATCATATTGTCCCATACAAACTTTGATGTTAGGTTTTTATACCATTTGATGCAATCTTTCGATTACTCAGTTCGGCTACTATTAAAAAGGTATACCTCTCAAACTTCAATAAAATAAACCGTTTTCGAGATATTCGAGATTACAATAATTGTTATATCGCATTAAAGGACTAAAAGGTATATGAAATTTATGAAAAAACTACAATTTTTTTATGTGACGGTCAGGGCAAATGTATGTGATAAAAAATAAATTTTTTATCACATACCTTTTAATTCTTTTAAATAATGCGATATAACAATTATTGTAATCTCGAATATCTGGAAACGGTTTATTTTATCAAAGTTTGAGAAGTATACCTTACTAATGGTAGCCGAACTGTGTAATCGAAAAATTGCATCAAATGTTGCAAAAACCTAACCTCAAAGTTTGTATGGGACAATAAGCTTAAAGCAACCCCCGTTTCTACGACACTGTGTTCAATCAAACAATTGTAATTATGTGTGAATATGTGTTTTAGTAGTAAGTTACTGTTCGCAAAATATCACCTTTCCAAGACTACCATAGTAGAAGTTATATTAAAAAAACTGGAATGATAAGTAACACTTTATCACCCTGTATCTTGGAAACATAAGTAATTAGGAAAAATATTTATTTAGGTTTTCGTCTTATTTTTACTTGCTCAATCTTTTCCTAAATTTATGCCAATAAGTTTAGGGTCACCTTGTATAGCTAAAAAGGTATGTTGTTTTTTTGTGAAAGTTATAAAAAAAATTGTATACTTATACCGATTATAACATTTTTATAATACCTACCGTGAAAAATATGTTGGGTAATTATTAATATTAATTTAAAACTAAATTTTTATCAAGTGATTTTTTAATTTTAATCAATGATTTAAAAAAGTTTCTAAAATCTAATTTTTTTTATTATTTTGTTAAATAAAATAATAAAGGAATTCCTATAAAATAATAAAATAATAAAGGAATTCCTATATTCATATACAAAGTAATATATTACAGTTGCGGACGGTGGTTTATTTGTTTATAAAGTAATGCCAATATAATATTATTATAGTCAAGTTATTTTTAGTTTTTTTTAAAAAAAGCTTATAATTTAATAAAAAAAATCAAAAAAAATAATTTTTTGTTGATTTTTTTTATTTTTTAATAAAAATTATGGAATTTTGGTTTTTTTTTTAATCAAGATTTTTTCTAACCCTGCACGGTGTGCCTGAACGAAGTTTAAATTACATAAAAATGCCGCCAAAAACTGATTGAGGTTTCTTGTTCGACCCTTTGGTGACTTAAAAATGATATTTACCAAAATCATAGCTGCTCCTCTTTTTGAAATTTTATGATATTCTTTTAAATTTTTGTTTATTTCAAAGTCTACCTTTGACAGAGTACACATTTGTACACCGATTTTTATAAAATTAGAGTATATTATTGAGGAGACTTAAAGAATACTTTTTAATACTGTTCACATCATTTGATATATACAGGGTGAGCCAAAAATCGCTTATTTTTAAGCGTAAATTTATGATTTTGGCATAACACGCAAAAAAGATTTATCCCCATTTTTTTAAAGATTTTTCTACGTTTATGAGGTTACAAAATGGCATTCCTATTAATCTTTTATAAAAAAATAGATTTTTAATAAAATTAAACAAAATAACGCTTAGAGACTATTTAAAATGCTGTTTAATTTAGGCTTTTTAGTAATTTTCAATTTTGAACGAAATACTGGTTAAAGTTTTTTTATCGACACTCTTTGGAGATTTAAAAACGATATTTACCAAAATTCTAACTGCTTTTTTTTAAATTTGTTAAAAAATCTTTTTTTTTTAATTATTTGTTTATCGCAAAGTCTACCTTTGCCAGAGTACACATTTGTACACCCATTTTTATTGATTGCAGTTTCTTGTTCGGGACCCTTTGGTAACTTTAAAATGATATTTACCAAAATCCTAGCTGCTCCTCTTTTCGAATTATTTTGAAATTTCTTATTTTTTTTTTAAATTTTTGTTTATTTCAAAGTCTACCTTTGACAGAGTACACATTTGTACACCGATTTTTATAATATTGGAGTATATTGTTAACGAGACTTGGAGAATACTGTTTTCATACTGAGCACATCATTAGATTTATACAGGGTTGGGTTGATAAACAAAAATTTAAAATGAATTTTCGAAAAGAGGAGCAGCTAGGATTTTGGTAAATATCATTTTTAAGTCACCAAAGGGTCCCGAACAAGAAACTGCAATCAGTTTCTGGCGGCATTTTTATGTGACTTATACTTCGTTCAGGCACACCGTGCTTGACGTTAAGTAATTGGGTCATTATATTTTTTAGCCCCATCTACCTTTAAGCAGTAAATCTATTTTCCAAGTGACACAATAAATGCACATAAAACATGGCTTTAATTTAAAAAAATTAGTTTACTACCAAATAAATGCCGTGACGAAAGATAACCTTCAAAAACACAAGCTGCTTGTTTGTAACGCGCAAAATAACAATAATAATAATAAATTTATTGTCATCAAAAGGTATTACATGACATGTCAAAAATAATAATTTATAGCGATACCATTGCCCGCAGCCTTGTGCCACAGTTATTTTATATATACTTATTTGTTATTTTATTTTAGTTTTAGAATTCTGTTTCATATAAAACATATGAAATATATCCAAGTTTTCACTATTGCAATATGATGGGGACATGGGGTTGCTAACTTTCAACCTTAATTAAGACATATGTTAGGGACAAGTGACAAATGGCAGAGAGACTTAATAGTATAATGACCCAATTACATGTCGATATTTAAAATATCTTTATGTTTTTATTTATTAAAATAAGCTTTTAACCGTTTTCCCTTTATTGTCAGAAATGGTATTTCAATATATTCATTTTTAAACATGTATTCCGGTAAGAGACATTTAAAAAATTTATATATATATTAATAATAATTATTACATTACATTTGGACCATTTAGAGCTTTTATTTAAAGTTAAAAAGTGAATATTTTAGTATTATTAATAATTATAAAATATGCAAAATGAAATATTTTTGGTTAAAAAATAACACTTAAAAAACTTACCCCCTGATCATTGAGCCACATTATATAGTCGACCCGCACATCCAAAACATCCGCTAGCTCGTTCAAATGAAAAGCCTCGCACGGAACTTTATGGTTGTCCACAGAATGGTTTAGTCTGTTTAAAAATGCCAAAATATCCAACATTGTTACAAGGCTTGGGTCGTAAAACGCTGTCTAAATAAACAACAAATAAATAACCAAACACAAATAAGTTGATTTTCTAGTTACCTTTCCTTCGGGTATGTCTTGCGAATGCAGTATGAACATGGCGACGGTTTTGAAAATGTTAACCAGCTTCTCGAAATAGTCGTCGCTCATCATCAGCCACCAGGTTCCCACCACCCTAGTTGCCGGCGGTTTCAACTTAAGTAAGGCGTTCGCGAACGGTTTTTGCAGGATAGAGTGATTTTTGGGGTTATTGAACTCGTGGTACAATGGCAAGGTGAGGTAGAGTCTAAGGCTTTCCACGTCGGGCGGAGACGGGCTCAGTTGGTTTAAAAGTTCCGTGATTTGACAAAATATCTAAAAAATCGTGTCCCTGAAATGCCCGTACAAAATAATACCACAAATTTAATTTTTTTTATCTGGACTGCGGCAACGTTGCAAATTTAGGGTTTTGGTTAGTAAATACAGTTGTCAAGTTGGTCGCATTGATTAAAACAAACTAAGCTAGTTATAAATCTAGTTGTGGTTATGTATAAATTAATGTAGGTTACATTGTGCAGTTATCAAGTTGTCGAAATTCGTAGTTAAAAATGCAATTAATTTGGCTTTGGTTGTGCTTGGATGAGTAAAATCATATAAAAAAGTAGTTAAATATAGGTTGCTTTGCGGCCCAGAAGAAAAAGTATTCCTAGCGGATAATAATCTTCGCTTTGAAAAGAATTTATATAAAAGAAATTGAAATTTTTTGTGAACGTAAATGTTGTCCAATGGTGAATAATGTGAAAATAATGCGTGATGTAATATTTATAAAACCAAATTCGTTACTTTTTTACTCCAAAAATGTCCATAAGGCGATGTACTTTTTCTTCCATTGTGGCATTTGGCATAATTTCATCAAAATGAAGTTTTGCCCTCAAAAGGGCTTTTACATTCGAATTCGTTGCTATTATTTTTGGCATAATTATCTTTTTATTTATAATTGACAAGTAAATTATTAATAATAAATATTATTGTCAATTTGACAGTGTCAAAGTATTTAATTAAATTCTTTAGCAGAAGTACCATTTTTAAATACTAAAAATACCAAGTCAAACTGGCATAAGCCACCAACCTAACAAAAAAACACGAGTCCAGATAAAAAAAATGAACTGTAATACCAAACAAAGTTCTTTTTTTATCTGGACTGCGGCAACGTCGCAAATTTAGGGGTTTGGTTGATAAACACGGAACAAAAATTGGTTGCATTCACAGACCTGTAGGTCTGTGGTTTCATTGATTAAAACAAACTAAACTAGTTATAAATATAATTATAATGTAATTGTGGTTATGTTTAAATTATTGTAGGTTACATTGAACGGTTGTCAAGTTGAGTGTTGCGTAGATGAGTAAAATCGTATAAAAAAGTAGTTAAATATAGGTGACTACGGCCCAGGAGAGACAAAGTATTTATAGCGGATAATAATTTTCGCTTTGAAAAGAATTTATATAAAAGAAATTAAAATTGTATGTGAACACACGTGAATGTTGTCCAATCATTGGACTCCATTGGTGAATAGGTATTTTGTTAAAGCCACTGGAAGTTAATACTTGTAGTGGCTTAATAATAATTATAATTATATATTAGGGTGTTTATTATAATTATATATTAGGGTGTTTAAAAAAAACAACAATTATTTTTTTCCAATGGTGTTAAGAAATTAATAGTACATTAAAAAACAAAAATTTTGGCGCCTATTTGAGCCCTTAATTTTAATATTAAGGTTTGCCTTAATTCATTTGTTGTTTTTCCATTTCAATTTTTTTTAATTTTGAATTCCTATAACTTTGGAATGTTTTGTTTTCGCAACACCCAAGCGAGAGGATTTATAGGAAATTTCACGCTCCACAAAAAACATCTGAAGGTCAAAGTTCTTCAGATCAACCGTTTCAAAGATATCAGCGATCAAAAATAACAGTAATCAAAAATTTCAAATATTTTCCAATAAAACCACAAAAAAATATCATATGCCTTATTTATATTATTTTTTATGTAAAATCACTTTAATTCTGTTAACCTGACACTGTGAACTTTTTGTTGCTAATTAATTCAATAAGTAACTCACAAAAAGCACAAATATATAAATTAAACACACGGGTTTGACAGCTGATTATCAAAAGTTATTCTTTTGTTACGATGATAACAGCCGAGTGGTGGCGCTACTAGCGATACTTCTTTAGCGTATTTGACAGTGTCAGAGTATTTAATTAAGGTCTTCAGCAGAAATACCATTTTTTAAATACTAAAAATACTAAATCACTGGCATAAGCTACCAACTTAATAAAAAAACACGAGTCCAAATAAAAAAAAATGAACTGTAGATAAGCCTTCTACTTACCAAGTCTTTAATGCTCTCATTTTCTATTCTAGCTATTACATCAAATGTCTTTTGGGCTAGGTCCATGTCGACGCCATGATGTTTGCTGGTGCAGTAATAATGCTTGTCGTTTGAAAGTAAAAATGAGGCGTTTAAACAATTTTGACTTCTGAACACAATTTCCAAATAAGTTAGAATATCTTGATCGACCGGTTTGTCATTTGGAATGTCCAGCATTTCTTTTATTGAAGAATAGTTTAAGGCTAAAAATTATATCATTGGTCCACATTTTTTTATACAGGGTGATTGAAGAATGAGATCATAGGAGGGGGTAAATAACCAAACAATTCCTACAAGTAATATATTACAGGATACAAAATCATTTTAATTGTCCTATCTTATTTTTCAATCACCCTGTATAAAAAATGTAGACCAACGTTAACCTTTTATTTTTGAAACGGCTTTAAAAAATTGTTATATGTTGTTTTATATAAATAATTTAAAAAAACAATGTAAAACAATGAAAATAATGCAATTGGTTTTGTACCTAAAATAACTGTAGTTTAATTCTTACAAAAAGGTCAAATTAGATTTGCTATGATTCCACGCTCGGTAAACAATATAGAGTAATGTAGACAGTTATCGGACACTTTATAGTTATTGGACAATTAACATTAATACTGTAAAAACAAGAGTTCTATAAATAGTTACCTTAAAGTCAAATCATTAGATAACGCTGTATACAATTATAACTATCTCAGTCGGTAATAATATGGAACTACTTTATTTTGGGTCCAATATAGGACAAAAAAGTTCGCACGTTACTTTGGTGGTAAGATTTTTGTTTTTTTGTTAAGAGCAGGGCTGTGTTTAAATAACAATAAAAACTATTTCTAAAAAGTGTACAGATCAGTGTGTGGTATAAATGTGTTCCTCATGGTTTAAACATTGTCACTTTAATGCGTTTTAATTTTAATTCTGAAAATAAACAGTAAAATGGCCAGTGTCCAATTAGTGGTTGGTAAAAAATGTAAATTTCTATTATTGGACATATGTCCAATATCATACTCTATTTGTATCCCGGACCTTTACCAAGCCAATTCTTATGTAAAATTGTCCCCTGAATCTGAAAAGACCGTCAAAAACTATAAAAGTTAAGCAGTTTTTGAGATATAGTGAATTCCATATTATATGTAAAATTGATTATATTTCAAAAACTGTTCTACTTTTATTATTCTTGACGACATTTTCGGATTCAGCGAATAATATTTAACAGGAATTGACTGCTAAATGTCCTGGATACAAATTGCCGTTGACTAGAATTATTAGTGGCTGCTTTTTCGCTATGACATTTTTGACTAATTCATTTTTAGAAAGTAAGTAATATAGTGATTTCTTCGTCACAGGATATCCTGCAGAATAACAGTGATTTAAATAAAGTGCATGATAGAGAACATAAAAAACTAATGGCAACAAAATTAATAAATTTGGAAAATAGTTTTAACATACCACCCGAAAAAATATTAGATATATATAAATCATCCTGTTCCGGCCTAAACATTATAAATGCCTCACAAAATAGAGATACCACACTGCAACAAACTATTTCAGAAGTCAGACCAAGGAATTAGTAGTTACCTTCAGAATCCAGAAAAGGGATGGGGAATCCGAGAAAGAAATATATGAATTATATGATATTTACAAAAACGAAATAAAAAAATTACCTAAAAGATCAATTTATCTTTAAAAAATATTTAACAATTTATGTTATTTGATGTAAAGTTGTTATGTTTATATAAAAACTGTATGTCCAATAACTATGGTCCATGTGTCCAATTACTATATAAAATGTCCAATTACTATACTTTTTAGCATGTTTTTATAAAACTTTTATTAAAAATTAAAATATTCTTATTTTTAGGTAAACGTAAATAATGTTTAACAAACAAACTATCCTTTTTATATATTTATAAGAAAAAAACTAAAATCTTTAAAACAACGGCATACCTATATAAATTTTAAATAAATAATATTCCTTAAGTGTCCAATAACTATGTGGTTTACCCCACAATCCACATAACAAGGTCTGTTCGATCTTTATTCGCGCATGTTAAAAATCACGAAATTAGGCAACCTAGTATACATTCATACTTTAGTGGCCATTTTCATTGTTTACAATTTCATTGTTTGCAATTATTGTGCTGTTTATGCGGATTTGTAATAGTTGTTTGGTTTTATTCTTTATTTGTGTTTGCCGTTCCTACCCCTAACCCGCTCAAGCCATTCAGTTGGCTTCTGGGACTTCTTAGGAAGTAAGGGTGGAACTAAAAGAGCACTTTTGTATATAAACTTTTGTATATTATTGTGTATTATAGTGTATTAAGAACCAGATACAACTATTTTTACTTTCTAAAAATACATTATTAATGTCAATAATTAATTTTTGAAATTCATTGATTAAAATACTCTTGTCAAATATCAGTTTACTTTAAAACTAAATGTAACTATTTAAATGTAATAATTAATTTCTGAAATTCATTGATTAAAAAACTCTTGTCAAATTTCAGTTTAGTTTTTAGTTTTTTAGTTTTTTAGTTTTTTCTAAATATTTTTATATAAATACTCTTGTCAAATATCAGTTTACTTTAAAACTAAATGTAACTATTTAAATGTAATAATTAATTTCTGAAATTCATTGATTAAAAAACTCTTGTCAAATTTCAGTTTAGTTTTTAGTTTTTTAGTTTTTTAGTTTTTTAGTTTTTTCTAAATATTTTTATTTCCTAAATAATAATTTAAAAAAAGATGTATCCTTTTGTCAAATATTTTAATGTTAAAAAACATTTGCAGTTTCTTTAAAACTTAAAAAAACTCCTTCCATGCCTGTGTTATACAGAATTACTAAACTGATCGAAAAAAGTTAAGCATATTTTTGAACAAAGTTGAAATCAAACTGAATAGCGACTGATACCTATAATGCGTTTTTTCGACTTCGTTCTTTTTTGTCTAAGATTCTTTTATTTTTACGTTTTTATTACCAAAAAATAAAATAAAGTATACAGGGCGTATAAAATTGAATCGTTAAATTTATGTTTTGGTCAAAATATCTTAATATGCTAAACTTTATTCGATTAGTTTATTTTGGGTAATTTAAATTAACGGCGGCAAATAAATCAAATATGGCGGTAGTCGTATGTGCGCATAACAGTACCTTGTTGTGTGGATTGTGGTTTACCCTACTAAGTTTAGACTCTCTTCTAACAAAGCTTGGTACTCACTTAAAATCTGTTCGTTCTCCAAAATCCCTCGGCAGTCGTACGGCGCGACGTTCTCGTCGTGCGGCGTGACGGTGACGAAGCAGTGGTCGCCGCCCGTGAAGATCCTGTGCACCACCACGCTGCTCGCGCTCGCGTCGGGCACGACGGGCGCGCCGCCCGGCGACACCCACGGCCCGAGGACCACCTGCGGCGTGAGCGCGCTCGAGGGCTTGCGCAGCCCGAGCTGCCCCGCGCCGCCGATGCCGAAGCTGTAGACGCGGCCGCGCGACGGCACCAGCGCCAGGCTGTGCTGCCTGCCGCAGCACACCTGCGTTATCACGGACCCCATCAGCTCGACCACCTGCAACAAGGCTCCTTTTTTAATCGCAAAGAATGATGCGAGGGTTGGGAAAATTTCACTTTTTGCTTGTACTATGCTCCACACCTCAAAGTCCCACCACGTGACCACGTACGGAACGCAGTCTTTTGAAAATTTGGCATTTAAGGCTTTTCAGGTTATGTATCTGTCAAAGTATAATCAACGAAAGATATGTATAATATTATGTTTAGGCGTTAAAAATGTATAAATCTTTATAATATTACAATAACAATGGATGGTTTAAGAATTTAAGAATATAATTACTGCATTTAATGAATTTTTATAGTGTATGGTGCCAAATAAGTTATATTTTTATGCATTTGGTCCAAATATCTGGTTTTCTTCATTAAATAATTTTAACTAAACAGCATTTATTTAAAAAAATCTAGCTTCTCTATTATGGAATAAGAATATCTGTATATACGTATATGGTACGTTAATATATTATATCAAAAATATCATCTAATTTTGTAATTTTAAGGTTAGAAATATTTATTTTGACCAAAATATATAAGTATTTTGGATTATTTAAAAGACTGTATAATATGGTATTTAAACATGTGGTAGTTTTTCTTATCCAGCTTAAAGTGTACCTACATAAAGTTTTGTCAATACAAATAGTTAAAAAGCTTCGACTGAATTTGATCTACATCAAAAAATCATTATAACTTAAAATTTAATAAATCACATGTCATGGGAATATTAAATATTTTCACATCGCAAGTTTTGTCGTTTCAATTTAATTTGAACTATATTCAACATTTATTTAGTAGGGGAAGGTGGGGGAATTCTGCGCATCTAAGCAAAATCTCTAGTATCTTTGTTAAGTTTAAATGTGAAATTTTGCAATTAATACCAGCGATAGTCTACTATGTTTACTATGTGTATATAATGCGCAATTTATAGAAAAAAATTGTTTGGTATGCAAAAACTTCATTTTTTTAAATAATGCATTTTCGCAAAATTACCCACCTATCAGGGTAATTTTGCGCATCATAGGGGGAAAATTTTCGCTGTATAGAGAAAGATTTGTAGGTATTAAATAAACCGTTTATTTCTATAATATTATTATATTAAAACATAAAACTAAAACAAAACTATTTTCTCTATGAAACAAACAAAACAAACAAGATCAAAAATAAATAACTAAAAATAAAATTTTTGTTCTTAGAAATAAGAGGGTCTACATGCAGCAGTTGTCACATATGTAGTTTTAGGGGTTGTTTTTTACGCTACACTCCGCGTGTGCCCAAATGGAACTGTTTATGATGAACAATCAAGGCTCCTGTAAAAGCAGCGCAAAATTACCTCAATTTTTCAGCGTAAAATTACCCCCATTGCAAGAAAAATATTGTGATACTAAAAAACATTCCAAAAGTTAACCTGAACAATTTAAACATACACCAGGTTACGAGGAAAGATCATATAAAGTTGTGTTATAAACATTTAAGCGATTGGACAGAAATTTAAACTTAACTCGTAGCGAAAACGACATGGATTTCTTAGATCAACGTACATGTATCACAGTTAGCTAGTGACCATGGTCACTAGCTAAAAGCTACAAGCTTAATTGCGGTACACTTTAGTCCCCGTATACCCAAAGCAACGTTTCCAAGTTTGCAACATTCAAAAAATGTATTATTTACTTCATATCTGGAAGAATTGTTTATGCGTAAAATTACCCACCGCGCAAAATTCCCCCACCTTCCCCTATACCTATATTTATTTATGACCATATTAACACACTCTTTCAAATAATCCACTTATTTATTTTGGTCAAAATAGATTTTGCTAACCTTAAAATATAAAATTAGATGATATTTTTTGTTCAAATACATTAACCTACCTTTGATACAGATATTCTTATTTCATAATAGAGAAGTTGGATTTTTTTTAATAAATGCTGTTTAGTTAAAACTATTTTATGGAGAAATGTAGACCCAATGCACAAAAATATCACTTATATTGCACCTTACACTTTGGAATTTCATTAAATGCAGTATTTATATTCCTAAATTCTTAAACCAACTATTGTTATTGTGATACTATAAAGATTTATTAACTTTTAACGCTTAAACATAAGCGGTAGCACTATAAATATTATTTCTTTCATTGACTATACTTTGACAGATACATAACCTGAAAAGCCTTAAATGCCAAATTTTCAAAAGACTGCGTTCCGTACGTGCGTACGTGGTCACGTGGTGGAACTTTGAGGTGTGGAGCATAGTACATTTGTTGGTGCAGAATTAACTAATGATAAGTTTACCTAATATAATTTATATTTAAGTTTGGACATTTTTAAGAAATTAGAAAAAAATAATTTTTGCACAAACATAACCTTAAAATCAAGCATTTTTATGTTTGAGATTTCTAAAAAACGCCGACAACTGCATTTTAAACAACAAAATATACCTACGAATTCATGGCAACATAATATTATAAAGGGTGTCCCATTAAGACCGCCTATTTTAAAATTTAAAAAAATGCCATGTTTATTTAAAAAGTTAAAATATTTTTATTGCATTAAAGAGACATGAGGCATGGAGGTTAAATATGGAACACAATATCCGATAAATGGCCGCCTCGTTACTGACGGCACAGGTTGATTCTTTTGACACAAAATTTTCGATTACATTTTGGCATAGTGCCGGCACAATTTCATTAATGACCCGTCGAATCTCATGTTTTAGTTTAGGAACTGTTCTTGGGTTATTAGCATAAACCTTTTCCTTCAAAAAACCCCTAAGAAATAAATCTAACGGCGTCAAATCGCACGATCGTCCTGGCCACATCACATCCTCGCGGTGCGAGATAACTCTGCCTTCAAATTTTGTCCTTAATAATTCCATGGTTTCGTTGCTGTATATAAATATTGTGTCAACCGAATCTTGTACGCATGAAAATACAGGTCTTTGGCCAAAATTCGCTGTAAACTGCTTCGACAGAGTCTCAATTGCTGGAAAGGTGGCGAATCAAGGCGAAAGAATTATGTTCAACACTTTCACTAACTGCTGCAACATTTTCAGCAGACCGAGCTGCACGAACACGGACATGTCTCTTTTTGGTTTGAACTGACCCAATATTTTCAAATTGCTTGATTAATCGGACCACAGTACGACGAGAAGGTGCGTTATGGTGACCGAAAAATCCACGATATCTTCAAACCGTTTCCGAAAACTTTTCACCATTTCGATAGTAGATTTTTACAATTTCTATGCGTTGTGCGTCCGTGTATATATCCATGACTTAACCTCAATGCTCACACATGACCACTGTCCAACAACAACGCTGTACGATTGACACTAAATTTAAAATAGGCGGTCTTAATGGGACACCCTTTATATAATACATAATAAAATGGTATTTTACCGTTTAGTGGAGACTTTCTTAATCAACGCTTTTAATAATGCTAAATGCTGTTTAAATTTAGACGACTTATATGTTTGACGATTTTTACTGAATTGAAATGTTAATCACTACTAAAATGTGTATTTATTGTATCTAATAGGTACAATTTATACTTACAGAGACTGTATGAAATTTATTTCTTCATTCAGATTAACACTGTTTATTGGAAAACCGGTAAAAACTCAACCCAGGATTTCCTCTTGAAATACACCGAACAACACAAAAAATCGAGCCACGGTTTTTTTATATATATTTTAACATTTCCGGCTTTATTCTCAAAAACACTCGTTTGTAACATAAGCGTTTGACAGCTGATTATTAAAAGTTGTACTTTCGTTACGATGATAACAGCCGAGTGGTGGCGCTACTAGCGATACTTCTTTAGCGTATTAAGGCAAAAAAAAATAATAATATTATTTTGATAAAGTACACTTACTTGTCTGGGCAGTATTTCGTTGGTTTTGGTCCCATGCCCCAGTTGCCCGTACATCCCCGAGCCGCAAGTGAAAACTCCTCCATCCGACGTCAAGAACATCGAGAACTCCTCCCCGCAAGCGATAAACCTGACCCTTATGTTCCTCAAGGTCCTCAGCTGCTGCGGAAACTTCTTGTTTTCCACATCGTTTATGCCCAGCTGGCCTTTCGTGTTTTTGCCCCAACCGAAAACGGCGCCCGACTTGGAAATGACCAGCGTGTGATTCCCGCCGCAGGTGATGAACGAAATCGGAACTCCCTGCAGAGTCGCCACCGCAGTGGGGATCGTCACCAGCGGCGATATCGCACCTTGGCCCAGCTGGCCGAAATTATTGGCGCCCCATGTTAATATATCCCCGTCTGAAAATTCCAAAAAATGTAAATAGTATACTATTTATAGTCCGCGCGTTATAACTTGGCGAAGCTCGACGCATGTGGGCGTGGCCGTTGGCACTTGTTTAATGCCTACCAGCGGCGTCGAAGATTAAGATAATATTTTGAAGAGTGAAATAAATAAAATAATTTGTAATTATTATTATATTTTTATCCTGGTATGAATAAAACATTTATTGGTATATCATCTGAATATAGATTATTTAAAAATGGTTCTCCATGATCATCCAACACTATTTATCCCGATAAAGATATCTTCCATAGATATCTTTTTATCCAATCCTCTTGCAAAGCAAATTCTTCTTCCGCAGTTTTTTTTGCATCGTCAATTTAAAAATGACATTTCTCCGAGCCATATTGTTCTTAACTGTTGCCCAAATGAGCTCGATAGGAGGTGGTAACCTCAACTCAGTGTGTCCATTAGGGTGTTTCATTTAAAACGAAACTTTTTTTTTCTTGCTGACACATGAAAATTTTGTTTTTTAGGTTGAAAAAAAAATTCCCTGAAAATTTGAGCCCTTAACTTTTATTCTAAGTACTTGTATTTTTAATCATTTTTACTTTAATCACCATAATTTTCTGCATAGTATTCACGGTTTTTGAAAGGCCCTGCATCAATTTTGTTTTTGATTTATTTACGTTGATTGTAGTAGATCCAAAAGTCGTTTTTTCACTTTTTCTCACATATTTTTGAGAAAATCTAGCGAATGACTGGTTTTACCGAAAAAGTGCAAATAAAAAAGTTGTAGGATATTTAATTTTTGACAAAAAAGGTTCTTACGTTCATATCACTAAAATGCTTTGTTTAAGAGATATAAGCAATTCAATAACCAAAAACAAAGAAAAAATAGGTTTTATTAAAATGTATGTAATTTAATTCAACAACTATATATTGCTTATATCTCTTAAACAAAGCACTTTAGTGATATGAACGTGAAAACCTTTTTTGTCAAAAATTAAATTTTCTACAACTTTTTTATTTGAACTTTTTTGGTAAAACCAGTCATTCGCTCGATTTTCTTAAAAATATGTGAAAAGAGTGAAAAAACGACTTTTGGAGCTACTACATTCAACGTAAATAAATCAAAAACAAAATTGATGCAGGGCCTTTTAAAAACCGTGAATAAATACTATGCAGAAAATTCTGGTGATAAAAATTATAATTCAAAACCCGGCCAAAATATAGAAAATTAAAGTAAAAATGATTAAAAATACATGCTTGTTACATGGAAAAACTACAAAATTAAAAAGAAAAACAAAATTTTCATGGGTCAGCAAGAAAAAAAAAATTTTCGTTATAATGAAACACCCTAGTGTCCAAGCTCTTGCAGCAAAACATTGTACTTATTTTATTTAAATTAATTAATTAAAAATTAGTTTGTGTCATGCAGAATGACTTAAAAAATATATTCCAACATTTATATGTGCAAAATATTGGTTTTTCATTCGCACTCACAATTTTATTTTTGTAACTTAGACCCTTTGGGAATACCACTCTTGAATTCTGTAAAGCTTGTCCAATAGTCCCCAATAAAGCATTTCAGGATGGCCAGAGGATGTCTTACTTAGGACCTTCTGGGGACCGACGATTTGGTAACATCGGATGTCGCTGGTACGTCCTGGGGAAGGTTCAGGACCTGATTCAGACGTACTCAGGACTCACTAATGTCTGATACAAGATATACTCAGGACGTTTCCAGTACTTCTTTGTGCTATCTGGGTGTATATAATATCGCGAATTTCGTTTGCTTCACATAGCGGAACGTCAGTGACTGATGAAGTTCTTCGACGCTTCTTGCCAGGACTCCTGAAAATTGCTTTGGAACTTGTTGGTTGAGTATCAGCGGTTGTTCCTTCTTTAACTATTCTTTCAATTGTTCGCACTGATACACCAGTAGCACAACTAACTTTGATTTTACAGCAGTCAGATTCTCTTCCTCAGTTTTATTATTTTTAAAGTCATTAAAACATGGGAAATAATTTCTCAAGCTTGACTTCCAAGAACTTTATTTTGTGTATTTTTCGTTTCCGTCATTACTTCTTTACTTGACAATATTGCCTCTTAGATTATTTTTGGTAAAGTTTCATTTTGGTTATATAAGTATTTAGGTATGTTTATATAATTAAAATTATACTGCTTTGTCACCTTTACTTAAAAATTATTATTATTAAAGATTATACCACTTTGTTACCTTCACTTTTTTAATTTAATATATTTTTAAAACTGGTTTATCAATAATTTTGCGATGCAATGAAATTTGAGTACACTTTCTATACAACAAATTGGACAAATAGCCGAAAAAAATTAAAAGTACTTAAATATTGAATACGCCCCACTGCTTTGCCAAACACGTGTTAAACTGAACTGGAAGGGCGGTACCATTAGGAAATTACGTCAACTGAGCATGGGGCGTTCTCGCCAAGTTATAACGCGCGGACTGTACTATTTAGTAACATTTGAATGCGCAGAAGATTGTTGGGCATGTTACAGGGCTCCCACGGCTAAATTACAAATTTTATTTAGGAATTTTAGGAGAAATAAAGTATGGAAATGAATTTATTTAATTAAATAAAAACATCTCATAACTACTTAAAAAAATTAATACTTCTTTTGTAACAATAAGTTATATTGACTAGTTTTTTAGCCAAATCGCTCGACGAGTTTTTTTTAAATAAAATTAGTGAGGTAAAATTACTACTTTTGTATATATCTGAGGTACATATATATACAAGTATAAATTTCACCACACTTTTAATTTTATTTTAAAAAATGCGTCGATAGATTTGGTTAATGTGTTTTGTCAATTTGGGAAAATAAAGATTATTATTATTACTATAATGCCAAAATCAAATGATGTTATCTTTATATTTTAAGAAAAAACATGTTAATCGTTTGGTTAATAACTAACAGTAATTAAATCGATAAGGTTAAGAATAGTACAAGTCCAAAAGTAAAATTTTTGATAAAATATTTCAAAAAATCAGTTTTAAAGTTCTAAATGCATTTTTGTTAAAATATTTTAACTATTTTATGAAATATAATATTCATTTGATTTGATTATATTGGTTAATAAGGATACTTCCGTGCTTGTTTTTAAGTTTTTATTGCGACTAGTTTCGCAATAAAAACTTAAAAACAAGCACGGAAGTATCCTTATTAACCAATATAATCAAATCAAATCAAATTAACCTTGCTAAAAATGGACTACAAAAACCTTAGAAAAAAAATAATATTCATATTCTGTAAAATAATTTATATCTTCTAACAAAAATGTATTTTAAACTTTAAAATTGATTTTAGAAAATAAATTGTCAAAATTAATTATTTGACTTGTACTGTTTTTATTCTTACCGATTCAATTGTAATGTGGATCTTAATACTTAAAAATCTCATAACAAAATATGAAGTTTGCAAAATACAGCAAAACATTCTTTAGATTGTTTACTATTTTAGCTGTCATTTAAAAGAAAATTAAAAATCCTTTTGTTTGGTATATAACACGGTATATTTTTGACTAAAAAACGAATTATCGCTAAAAATTACAATTTTGTAGAAGTTGTTTTTTAAGAAAAAATTTAGTTGTAATATTATATCATTTTAAAAAGAATTTAATAAAATAGAACCTAAATATATATATTTTTAAATTACTTTAAAAAAATTTTTTTAGCACCACCTTAATTAAACTCAGTCAGGTTGGCCTATTTAAATTTAATTTTTAGGATTTTAGGAGTTTTAGGAGATTGATGGCAGTTTTCAGGATTTAAGGAATTTTAGGAATTTTATGAGTTTTAGGAGGTGTGGGAGCCCTGATGTTGAGACCTACTATTGCTAAGGGCCACCGAATGCCTCTGTCCGCACGCTATCTGCAAGACAACGTGTTTGGCGAGGCTCTTGATGATCCTGGGGGCGGGCTGGATGTTCTCGCCGATCTGCTGTCCCAGCTGGCCGTGGTAGTCCGAGCCCCAGGTGAGCACCTGACCCCACCGGTTCAAGGCCATTGAGTGCGTGGCCCCGCACGCTATGTGCACGATGGTGTGCGCCTCCAGGTTCGACACCGGCTCTGCAAACATAGTCGGTTTACGGTAACTATAAATTTACTTCCAAGTTAACTTTAAAGTATTTTTTACGGTTAACCACAACGGTTTTATAACGGAATAGATACGAAAAATTACCGAATTTGGGGAATGGTTCATTTCGTTATTTTACCCAGGGTTGGGTATCTACCTTAGAACAAGGTATCTACCTACATTTTTGTTTTCGACATGTAGAAAACCTTTTTCGACGTTTTCGACGGTAGAAAACGTAAAAAAGTAGAATACTGTCAAATATCAAAAAATGTGAGGTTATGCAAGTTTGTTGTTTATTATGATTTGTTAAATGTTGTGAAAAATCAGACACCTACCATAAATTTGAAGTTATTTGGAGTTTTTTAACATTATTATGATGGGAAAAAAGGGCCACGTTTGGTTGGGAGACCCCAACATAATTTTTGGCATGAGGGCAAATTTTTATCAATTATAGAGAAGTGGAAGGAGAAGGTCGAATAAGGTAATTTACGTAGGTAGAAAACCCTATAGGTTTTCGACGCAAGTCGAAAACAAGTTTTCTACCCTTTTCTACCAAGGTAAATTACCTAAGGTTTTCTACTGACCCAACCCTGATTTTACCTACATTATAACCTTTTTGATCTACTTAGAGAAAAACGTAATAAAAACAATATAAATACCACAAATTAACGTAAAAGTAACGCAATAATTACTAGCCCTTGTGGAAATTTTTCTCTGAAAAAGTTTTAATAAATAAAAGTAAGAGTTTTTAAAGTCTTTCTTTCTCTTAAAAAGTGAATAGTACTTATTAAGTCGGAAAAAGTCTGAATAAGTCTTAGTAAGTTTTATGATTTTTACTGAATTGAAATGTTTACAATTTTCACGTAAATCATTACTAAAATGTGTATTTATTGTATCTAAAGGCTTTGTTATCTATGGTATCTAATAGGTACAATTTATACAGGGCGAGTCATTTAACTTGAAATTTTGAAATATCTCAGTTAGTATGCCATCTTATACAAATATGAAAAAATGTTATTGAAATATCCAAAAACTAATGCTGCTTAAATGTCACGTAGTCCACTCTGTATGTTTATCCTAATACTGATGATTTAGCATGTAAGCACTCCGACCTATATTTTTATGAAACCAACTTACTTAACCATTGAACATAGTCGGTGTAAGAACTTTAAATAAAAGTATTGATAATACTTAAAGTGTTTTAATTAAATAATCGTCCAATTACCCTAATAAATGTTTTAGACAAAATCTACCTATTTTTAGTCCAATCATCCGAATCTGCAATGAAAAATAGTATTAAGCATGCAATTTATTTCTTCATTCGGATTTCCACTGTTTATTGACAACCCAGGATTTACTCTCGAAAAACACTCAACAACACAACAAATCGTATAATTTGTACTATATTGTTATCAACACTACAGTAATTGATTATGGCCTAGGCACTTAAATGGTAATTTGAACAACAAGAATATAAAGTGACACTTTGTTGCCTTGAGGATGAAATGTTATACGTAATTCGGCTTTTTGTGCTTTGCACAATTTAAGTTTAGCAAAAAAGACACTTCTTGGCCTAACTATTTTTAGATATTGCGCCATTTTCGGGATACCTCGTAGAAAAAATATTATAATTTAACTATATATATAACGCCCTTTAGCTTGTAAAAATTAATAAATATTTTGTTAATTCAAAAATGTTTAAATATTTGTTTAATAGGGTGGAGCGAAATTTTTTTTCCTTAGCCTGGGGGTGGAATTTGTAGCCAATAAAAAAAGAAAATTTTTGAAAAAAAAAATTTTACTCAACGTCTTGAGGTGCCCACTGATTTTTTTCGCTCCACCCTAATGTTTAAGCTGGTTTAACATAAAATGAAAAACAAAGTACAGTCGCAAAAATTAATAGTATACATTTTTTTTTAATATTATAAAAAATTTAATTTTAAATATGGACCTTATTTTAGGACTAAAGTTTATAATTATGTAATTGTGTTTTACATTACATTCATAAAAACTTTTTATTACATATAATCTTAACAATATTAAAAAATAACATTACTATTTTCTGTGACTGTACCTACTTCTTATGCTCCATACCTAAAAATCCCACCTTGACATTTTTATACAAATAATTAAGGTTATCTATCTGTCACCTAAATTTTGTTTTTTTTTTCTGAAAATAATACTTAAATGTATTTTTTGTGCATAAATGTCTTAATTTAAAACACAAATATACATAATAGTATATTATGTATCAAGTTTGATAAACGCCATTTTATACACGAATTTAATTTAGGAACGAGCGAGCTTGCGAGCGAGTGCTTAAGTTAATAAGTGTATAACAAGTTTATAAACGAGGTGCATACTATACTTTTTCTACGACAAATACTTATTATATTATTATTATATTATCTTAAAATGATTTAAATAAAAAAATTGTATAGAGCGCCATCTATGAAACAACAGGGGAAACTGTCAAATGTCACATTTTTACATTTTATAATCACAATTATAAAGGTTATAAATCGAAATGTATCTTGAAAATTGACAGTTTTTCACAGTGAAAGTAAAGGAAATGTTTTATGAGGACTTTACAGTAGAGTCCGTGCCCGAATTTAAGTTATAATTTACTGCCGGCGAAATTAAAAGGTCAGTACAATGTTCATATAAACTTTTCAAATATTAGCCTTGAGAAACTATTTAATATTTTTGTATTTTTGTATTGAGATAATAAAATAATTTTCACATTTAGTATTATTTTACAAGAAAGGCACTTTATTTTAACGATTGTATGACATTTGACAACTGTCAACTAACTTAAAACTAACTTCAGTCCGTGACTAAAAACCTGTTGCTAACTTCAGCCCGTGACTAAAGCGCCGTAAAGCCGCAACTTGTCAATGTGTATTTAAAAGGTCACTTAGTGTCATGGAAACATGTACGATAAAGTGCGTTTTAAAGGTGGGAGAGGAAAAATAATATTATTTTTAAAAGAGGAGGAAGAGCGTTAAACTGACAGATAGATAACCTCAATTATTTGTAGGTATTCAAAAATCCCACTTCGACATTTTAACTGATTATGTGGAGAATAGTACCAATCATCTATGCATAGTACAGTAAAAATGATTAACACAATTTGACTTGAACATAAAAATGTTAGTAAAGATACTAAATGTTATGATATATAATGGTCTTACTTATAAAAATTAAATTAGTAATCAAGCAAACACATAAAGAGAAAAAGCTAGAAGATATATCTGCCATCCAAAAGTAAGAATGGCCAACTGCATTTTGATCAAAACTGAACAAAGGGAAAAATATTGTCCCACCTACTTCAGTTTGCTTTTTTGTAATTGTTTATGGGGTAAATGAAGGTCAGTTTAAACATTGGAAGAAAAAAAATAAACGGTATTTTCGCTCTTGATGTTGTTATTATTTGAAAAGTCATGGTCATGGTCATTTTTTTTATCTTAAGCTCAAGTTCAAATTTCAGTTAGCCTACTTTTGGAGGGCAGATATAGAGTGTCATATAATGAATAAAGTAAACAAAACTAAAAAATAATTTTGTAGAAATCCAAATCAATTGCCAAAACTAATTAAGTATAATTTGTATCATCAAAACTTAAATTACCTAAACTGTTTTTAAAATGTCAAATTAAGATAGACATAACTGTCTTAAAAATTCCCACTTAATCTAGATATCATCTTAAGCTAGCTATAGCTATAACTGTCTTAAGAATGTGAACTCAAGTTAGCTACAGAATGTCATTTTAAGGTAACATAACTGTCTTAAGAATCTCAACTGTTATAACATAGTTTATAAATTGTTAATTTGGTTTTGTGTATGAATATGGACTGTATCAGTAAGGTTCTTATTTTTATTTTACACATTAAATGTCACTCTGTACACAACACATATAAATGCACCAAGGCAAATGTTACATACGAAATAAAGACATACGTGGCCTTTTCCTTGGCTGGTCATGACCCAGCTGACCATAATCATTGTTACCACAAGAGTAAACTTTTCCTTCCTTTGTTAAAAAGAGAGTATGATTGTCACCTAAAGCAGCTTCAATTACAGTCCCAGCCAGATGCCATTCTAGGGTTCGGGGCGTCAAAATGTGTTCGTCTTCGATACCCCCCAACCCTAGTTCTCCATTTATTGTACTTCCCCAGGCATACATTTTGTCACTGAATTTCTACCTCGCACACTATAATTGCTGACATGCTTGCCTGCATTTAACTAAAACTGTACAAAATCAGATGATAAAGTCCAATTAACTTTTAACATTATTAATCACTATTTAAACGAGTTCAAATTTATGGATATAAGTGTTTTTATATTTCCAAATGCATTGGTAAATACAGTCGATTTTGTTGTTTGTTTATTCGACGTTTTATAGCCACCAGATGATTGGTTGAAGTTTGATGATAAAGGTTTCTTAAGGTTAGGATTTTTAGTCACTGTCAGTTAGCGTTGGTGACGGTTTACACAGTGTTGCCAAGCTGTACAAAATTGCCTGCTTCGAATAATTTGCATTCGCCAAATATAATTTATTTAGCTAAAAACACGTAAACCAAACATTTTAAACAATATCATAATTTTTTTTATTCGGAATTTATGTTAATACACGTTGGTATTCTTAATATTTCTAACTGGTACTCCTGTTCAAGCCCTTAAATTTAAATATTTTGACGTTTGTCATTTAACTGTCACCAAAAGTGCAACTTTTTTGTGACAGAAAATCTTTGCGCGTTTATTTGCGAGATCCGCGGATTTATGGGAGTTAATTGACGGTAAGTATACCTACCCATAGATTAATAACCTTTAGGTACTATATAGTATATGCATATGCAGCAAACCCCTTAAAACAATATTGAATACCAAAAATCTGTCACTTTAACGCTAATTTCGTCATATTTTTATGAAATAATACAATACAATACAATATAAATCACAGATTATAAGGGTGATATAATTTTTTTATTTATAACTGTCAGATATATAACCCCAATTATTAAAACAATATATTGTATAACAATGTATTGTATTAACATGTAACAATGTATTGTATTATAATAATATAAAAAAATAGAAAAAGCAATCCCATTAAAAATAAACAAATTTTTAACATGACCGTCGCATACTTTTTTTCATGTGATTTCACCATATACCTATAATTATAGGAACTGCACAATTAACTTTCGCCATTTGCAATAATAAAATATTTTAATTCACACATGCAGTACCATCTAGCGGCAAATAGACGACCTAAAAGTCCATCTATAGACCATATACGGTCATGTGAAGAAAACGTCGGGACAACGTTCAGTTATTATTTTTAGCCTAAACATTAACAATAATGGCTATAGCTATATATTTAAGACAATTTTATAACACAAAAAACCCAACATTTGTTCAATAAGTACCATATTCTTTGGATACTTAAAACTTGAATTAAATTTTTAGAATATCGCAAATATTGGATTTTGCTCGAGGGAGATACGACGGTCCTGTGAAACTGGAGTTTTAAAACCAAAATTAAAAAATAAATTCATAGGATATTGAACTTTTGGTATTATAAATCAATAAAAAATATGCCTGTCTAGTAAAATGTAAAAAAAAATGATGGCTAATATAAAGGTTTTAGTTTTAATACCCTAGGGACATGCTATATTAAAAGTCACTGAAAATCACCCTTTTATTTTAATAATTTTTATGTCCATAGATAATTTTTTTATTTTTATTAGTGCTCATTCATAATGGACGTAACCATAAGATGCCCGTAAGAAATACGTAAAACGTAAAGTTGAATATTAACAAAACCAGTGTGCCTGTTTATAATGAATAGCCGTAACTTTTACGTTTTACGTTCGAACATAAGATCTTATGGGTGACCGTAAAAAATACGTAAAGTTGAAATCATCTCAACTTTACGGGTTTCTTATGTGTGAATTTTAGTAACTTTCATGATTTCACTAGAACATTGTTGGTAGCAATCAGGGTAGTAGCTATGCAAACAGATGACAGATCTTTTTTAAGTGTATTCTGGTGTATCCACAGAACAAAAAATCTAAAGAACCATTCCTTATCCTAAAGTTTTAGTTCGAGTATTATTCGACGAAATTCGCCCTTTTTTTCTTCTCTTTGCCAACGTATATATCGCTATTACACTAAGGTTATGATAACACTGATAGTTTTAACTTAATTTATATTTATAATTATATTGTCTTAAAACTTTTAAGTTTTAAGACATAATAATTAGACGAAATCTGTCAATGCTGCCATTTTAGTGCACTTGGACATGCGCGCCTTATTAATATATACATAAGGCATACGTTCATTATAAACACAACTCATCGTTACGTACAAATTATGGTGATATTATGTTTACGTTTACGTTTACGTTTACGGGCATCTTATGGTTACGTCCATTATGAATGAGCACTTATACTTACATAATTTTTTAGGGGGTTTTAAAATATATTTTAAAGTATATTTTTAGTTATTATTATTATTTATTACACTATGATAGTTCGATTTACTAACATTGAATAAGTATATTACCTAATTTTAAGCTGATGATTTCAAAAATGCCACTCGTTTTGCTCCAGGACGTCTACACAGCAAACGGAAAATTATAGAAGTGTATAGGATGACTTCGCGTTTGAAAATCAAATCTTAAAGTTTTATCATAACTGTATTGAATCGTGCTTTGTTTTTATATTTTTCGGCTCTATACCTATGCACGACTATATTTAAAGTCAAACTCAATGGTGTCTTACAAGATACATTATTTTGATTTTCTATATTCAACAGAGAGGTAGAAACTCGACCCTGTCGAATGGTGCAGTCATTTATGTCTCTAGAAATTATTAAAAAAGGGTTCAGTCCAATGGTGCAGCAACTTCGGAACTTGTTAAACTTCGACAGGTAAAATAATTATACAGTACTAATATTTTATAAAAAAACCCATTACCTGCAATAATTGTATTATATAAGTTCGTTATTAGATAAGTTTGAAATCATTTCTGAAGAAGCTACTGTGTTAGCGAAACAATCCGATTGAATCGTCAAATACAATTTAAATAAATTCGTGAAACTCAAAAACAGTGTTTGTTTTTTATCCAGTTATATATTATTGGAGTACTTAATGTAAGGAAAAAAAAGTAAAATTATCATGGTGTAATTTTTCTTATACTTACATAATTTTTAGGGGGTTTTAAAATAAAAGTAAATTTTTAGTTATTATTATTATTTATTATTAATAAAGACCAAGTATATACATGTGGGTATATAATTATGAACTAAACATAAATCTACGACAAAAAATCATATAAATAAATCGCTTAATATAAAAAAATTACGCATGATGTAAAGACTGCACATGATGCCTTCTCAATGAAGATTTATCGGTGAACGTTTTATCACAATCCCCGCATTTAAACGTTTTCCCGGTGTGCGTAACCAGGTGCCTGCTCAACCCGGAAGCATGACAAAACACCTTGGGACACAGCGAACAGTAGTGCAGCTGGATATCGGAGGGGTTGTTCATGTGGGTGCGCAGGTGCACTTTCAGCGGCTCCTTCTGCGTGAATCCCCGCGGGCAGTGCGGGCAACTGTACGGCTTCTGGCCGGTGTGCGTCATCAGGTGCCTGAAGAGGATCTCCTTTTGCGCGAAGCTCTTCTGGCACACCTCGCATTGGAACGGCCGTTCGCCGGTGTGGATGCGCTCGTGGCGCACCAAGGCCGACCTGGTCGGGAACCACTTTTCGCATATGCCGCAACTGAAGCCTCTTTGTTGCATGTGAACCGAGGCATGGCGTCTAAAAAGTAAAATCATCATCAAGTTTGTTACTTGAAAAAGGACAACTTTGGTTATACCGCATTTTCATTTGAAACACTCGAGTGAACCCGAGTGAATCCCATCGCCCCTCCCCAGATGCATGTAATCAGATTGTCTACGTAGGCGACGGCTCAGTCATATACAACAGAAAGATAAATGGGAAACTGAAATAGGAACTACCGGTTGGATGTTTATCGCCATCCCTGGACTGAACTCAGGACTAAAACTGTCTATTGTCAAAATTTATTTTGGTTTTTCGCCAAGAGATGACACTTCTTAACCAAAAATTTTATTTTCAATATTTGAGGCCTGTCATAGCAAAACCGACAATCTCCACTTTTGGTCAAAAATTAGATTTTTGGCGGAGACTGTACTTCAACTAATTATCTATAGGACAATATAATTCATTAATATTAGAACCAATAAAATGCCAGTATTCCATAGTGACGTATTTTATCACAGCGGCAATATTTTTTATCATCTTGTTTACACGTTACTATGAATTTTGACGTTTTTTTGATTTGACATTTGTTGTCATTTAAATTCTGTTTTTGATATGTATCAATAAAATAATGAATTATAAACTCTAAAAGATCGATGGGTTGGTGTAAACGATAATGAAATTAAGGTAAGTTTGAATAAATAAGGTTTATTAAAGTCTTTTTATATTTTAAAGCACATTTTAATTTCAAATGTCAAACAAAAAATTCGTTAAATCCTAAAATTCATTATATTTTCTTACTAAATATAACTCGTGGTATGATTAATTATCGATGATATTTACTCATTAAAACCGAAGCAGCACATTTCACTCGTCCTGCGGACTCGTGAAATCTGCAGCTCGGTTTCAATTCGAAAATATCATCGATGATAATCATACCACTTGTTATATTATGGGTGATGATAAAATTTATGAGCTGCAAAAGGAGCTAAATCCTGCCTAAAATCCTATTTTAAAAATGACATTTAGCGCAAAGTCGACAATCTCCACTGATAGATTTGCAGCAAAGTATACAATCTCCAATTCCACCATTAGAAATTAGTAATTTGTGTCACCTAATATCCTAACATTTGAGGTTATAACGTATTTTATTATAGATTTAATGTTGTGTTTTTTTACTGGTACATACTGTTAAGTTCTATTGCAGTAAATGGCACTTAAAAATATATTTAAAATAGGTATATATACGTTTTATTGTTTTAAGAATTATAAAAAAAGTTATCTTGTTTATTTTGTGCTATTATAGCATAATAAGACGTAAAGGTAAAGCAAGAAAAGGCTGATAATGTCAAAACATTACAAGTAAAACATTACAGGGCAAAGTGGGAAGAAGATGATAAGTTGTTGTACTATACAAACTTTTTTGCACAAGGCAACCTGGTCCCAGATTTAAAAGAAACTCAGAATTTATGTGGTCCAATTCAGAATTTACCCACACTGATTTTCTAGTTAAATTTTATACCCATTAAAGGAATAAAAAAACAATTATTTTTCTAAATCTCCTTAAACATTTACAACAAAATGAGCAATCTCCAGCAATTCATATCAAAGTCAGCAATCTCCAATTTATAATTATAGATTTCACCTATGCTATGCATCCTGAAGACCTTGTAGTTGGCTACTAGACTAACAACAACAATATTTCAATATAATATATAAAAAAAATTACAAATCTAGAATTTAAAATACCAAAATCAATTATCTCAATTTACTCAGTTTTAGTCTGATGGGAGATTGTTGACTTTGCTCTGACAGGCCTCATTTGCTATTACATAATTTTTTATTAATATTTGGTATTGTTTTTTAAAAAAAGCTTTTTATTTAAAAATATGTGGGTAGATATTTCGTTACGTTGGCAACATATACATATACATTGTTGGCCATAATTTTTGCAACCACTGTAAAAAAAATCCAACTTCAATACGCCTTTATTATTATTTATGAAATTTTGGATAAAAATACTTCAACTTATCTACAAGGTGTCCCTAAACTTATTGGCAAAAATTTAGGAAAAGATTAAGCAAGTCAAAATAAGACGAAAACCTAAATAAATATTTTTCCTAATTACTTATGTTTCCAAGATACAGGGTGATAAAGTGTTACCTATCATATCAGTTTTTTTAATATAACTTCTACTATGGTAGTCTTGGAAACGTAATATTTTGCGAACAGTCACTTACTACCAAAACACATATTCACACATAATTACAATTGTTCGAGTGAACAGTGTCGTAGAAACGGGGGTTGCTTTAAGCTTATTGTCCCATACAAACTTTGAGGTTAGGTTTTTATAACATTTGATACAATTTTTCGATTACACAGTTCGTCTACCATTAAAAAGGTGTACCTCTCAAACTTCGATAAAATAAAGCGTTTCCGAGATATTTGAGATTACAATAATTGTTATATCGCATTATTTAAAAGGATTAAAAGGTATATGATAACAAATTTTATTTTTTTATTGAAAAAACTAAAAAGGGCATTCCATGAGCCTCGGGACTTTTTGCCCTGACCGTCACATTAAAAAAATTGTAATATTTTTTAATTTGCCAAGAATATGTATTTTACTTGAATGTTTTTCTGAAAATTTATCATATTTTGAATGTGCCAAGCATGATTTAAAAAAAAAATTTACAAACTTATAAAATGTACTATTTCTCATAAATTTAATTTTAAAAGGTTACAATTCAAAATTTCTTAGATTTTATAATAGCACCAATGAGAAAAAGTACATTGACCTATGAAGTTTTTAGCTTATAGTATGTATTTAAAAAACAAACAAAATAAAAAGTAGATGTTTTTTATTTAAATAAAATAATTATTCGAAACTGTTTATCTAATTACTTAATTTTAATAATTTTGAATATTTAACAGTTTTTAACAATAATTTTAAAATTGTTTAAAATCTTTAAAAAAATATTTTTTAGAATTTTAAATCCCTCTAAATTTTGTGTTCAGAAGTGCCATCTCTCAGCAAAAAACCAAAGTAAATTTTGACCATTGACAGTTTAGTTCAGTTCAGTGCAGGGATGTCGGTAAACACATAACCAATTGTTACTATGGCAGTTTTCCATATATCTTTCTGTTGTACATACAGGGTGTCCCAGAACTCGCGCCACAGAGAAAAAGGGGGCGTGCCGATAGCAATGGAGATGCCAAATTTAAAAATAAAAAATTTCTAGGTAATAGTGTAATCGAATGAGAGCAAAAAAGCGGCAGCCAATACTGAGAGCTCTCGCCTAGGTTAAACGTAAGAGCTTTAAAAATTGCTAAAAGACGATAGAACATTGTTGTATTAAAAACATTTAAAAATCTTTTGGCCAACTGTATTTACTAAGTTGTCAAAAGCTTTCAAAAATGAGGTTATTAAATTATATAATTATATAATTATATAATATTAATCTATGACTTATACTTCAGAGCGCCAATGTTTTAAAATAACGATTAAGAAAGGGCTGGGAAAAAACTCGCGTTGTCTCCCTGGCGTTGCGCCCACACTAAATAAATAAATAATTATCATTTCAGTATAATCATCTAAGGAAAACATTATTTATAATAACTTAATTTATAACCTAATATAATATTAATGACAGGAGTTTGACAGCAGTGTCACAATGAATTGGATTCCAGTGGACCAAATATTTTACATATTTTTTATTATCAACAATGCAACCTAAGTATCCTAGCAATTTAAAGAATTCCCTATGGCCATCTATTGGGATTGGCTATCGTTTTTTATTCTTATCTCGCTTATCCTTTGCGTTAGACAATTTTAATTTTCAAATATGTGTTTCACGTTACTTTCGGCACGTTCCGGTTTTCTATGTGGCGTGAGTTCTGGGACACCCTGTATATGGATTCAGTTTTGTTTTGGATTTGCTAGTGTGTATTTCAAGCGTTTTAATAAAAAATTAATTTCTTTTATTTAAAATTATAAGTTAAAATGTCCAACACATTGCAAAAGAAAATTGACATGATAAGCTGGTATTTAGTCAGCAATTCTCTATAGAGAATTGCTGACTAAATACCAGCTTATCATGTCAATTTTCTTTTGCAATGTGTTGGACATTTTAACGTATACGTCAAACAAGAGACCTATTCGCAGGAACGCTCTATTCTTTCAATTAGAACAATAACAAAAGTTCATCAAAGGTTTAAATCAGCGGTTCTTAACCTTTTTGGCTGGCGACCCACAATTCAAAAATATTAGAAGCTCGCGACCCGATAAAAAATAAAATCATCAATTTTCTACTTTTTCTTAATTTAAATTAAGGATGCAGTGATTACGGCGCGCTTTTTCAAAAAGTCCCGCGACCCATCTCGATCTGGCCCGCGACCCAAATTTGGGTCGCGACCCGAGGTTAAGAAACGATGGTTTAAATTTATTTATTTATTTATTTACATTTATTTTAAGACGTTTGATTTTTAGTTTTGTTTAAAAGAATTGATTAATTTATTTTAATTTGTTTTCAAGAGAATTATTTTATTTTAGTTTTTAAAGAGGAAAACACTTAAATGCAAAACAAATAATGATTTTACACCTTTAATTAATAATTTACTGTTACATTTTAAGTATCTGAATTATTTTTAAAAGTAAATTAACGTAATAATGCGTAATTCGTTTAAATAATCCAGGGCAAACTTCGACTATCACCCAACGCCGGTGAAGGGTCCACTACTGAATTGCGAAACCCGTCTGCCACTCTTAAAAATTATTCTCCCACTTTTAAAACCCTTAAGCGGCCTGTCTATAGGAAATATGGAAATACGGTATGTTAAACAAATAATGTAAATATTCAACAAACCAAAACGAAAGTGTTTAAAGTACTTTTGGATCAGTTACACTTCGCTTCTGAGGGGGTTTAAAGTGTTGAAAAAAAACGGAAAAATTGGGGGAAAATTCTTTTTTTGAGAAAATTTTTTTTACACAATTGAAATTGGACATAATTTTAATTTAAAAAATAACGTTAGGTACAGAAAAAAAAGTAAACATTGAATTAAATTAAATTAATTTAAGAAAATAAACGCATACGTTAAATATACTGTCGGTTGGGTCTTTTTTGCAAAAAGGAGTCCATTGAAAATATCCAATTACAAAATAATGAATGATAAATCACAAAATTATAATTTTATTATCGAAGTGTCAAATAAAAGGAAAGTTATGGTAATACCCGGTGGAATTATATAAAATTTTTAGAAAAATTTACTTTTGCATTTTTTCGTATTACCCTTTGAATAAAATGAAAAAATGCAAATTTCCGGAAATTTTAAAACCCCACCTGTGGCAAACAAAAACTTTGGGAAATTTTTAATTACCCTTTTATAAATAAAAACTCACCTGAGCTGTATCCTCCTCGCGAACGACTTTGGGCAGTCCGGGCACTTGAAAATCTTGATCTCGCCGTCGTCGTTGAACTGCGGCTGGTCCTGCTGGTCCTCCGGCATGGGCGGCGGCTCGAGCGGCGGCGCGTCCGCGTCCTCCTCCGTCATCAGCTCCATCACGATCACCGAGCCGTCTTCCGTCGTAACCTCGACCTGCGTCGACTTACCCGCCGTCTGGTTCACCTTCAGCTGCAGCGGCCCGTTCAGGTTGATGCCTGCACAGCAAACGGAAAATTATAGAAGTGTATAGGATGACTCTGCGTTTGAATATTAAATCTTAAAGTTTTATCAGAACTGTATTGAATCGTGCTTTGTTTTTATATTTTTCGGCTCTATACCTATGCACGACTATATTTAAAGTCAAACTCAATGGTGTCTTACAAGATACATTATTTTGATTTTCTATATTCAACAGAGAGGTAGAAACTCGACCCTGTCGAATGGTGCAGTCATTTATGTCTCTAGAACTTATTAAAAAGGGTTCAGTCCAATGGTGCATCAACTTCGGATTCTTATTCTCTTTAAAGACATAGAAACTCAAGCTTTTCGAATTTTACTGGCAATGATTTTCGTTAATGTCCCCGAGAATTATACAAAAACAGCGCAATGCAATATCGCAACGGTTTCGACTTCTCTTTACTCTACCAAGTTATAGAAACTGGAGTCTCACTAATACTGTTCTAGTCAATATTTCTGAGAGTATAAAAAGAGGGTGTAATATTGCAAGAAGTTTTGATCTTTTGATGGATGCAAGTAGTTTGAATTTTCTTATTTCTGCATATGATTTTGTTGAAAATAGTTTCTTTCTTTGGTTCCTTTGTCTGATTTTTATTTACCGTAACAATTCAGGTATGTAAAGTACAGAGGATATGATGTTAAGTATATTTATGTATTATATAAAGTACCTATATTTGTATTAAAAATTTCAGAGGTTATGTTGAAAAAATGATCGATATGCTATTAAACTTTAATAATTTAGTAATGAGGTCTGTCGGTAGACCCTGCACTATCTCCACTGGTATATGTTAGTACAGCAATATTTAAATCTGGTTGATGAAAAAGTACACACCAGTGCAGGTTATTGTAGCATCTACGCCAAGTGAGCACGAGATTTTCACGCAACGAAAATTAACAGTAGATTGTTTTACAAGCAAAGAAAAGTGAGAGTTTTCCGGCGAGTAAAAGAGGTTGTTAATAAACTCGCGTGCAAAATAATCGATCCACACAAATTTTCGATGAATTTCAATCGCAAATAACTTTTTTTTTGATGTCGGAGTTAAACGAATATTAAAAAATATTGTAGATAAATTAATGGACAATCGCTCACATTTTAAAAAAATACTAAAAAATTCACGTACGTTTATAATATACAGGTTTAAACAAAAATATGTTTTTTACCATAAGTTTAAGACACTCTGTAGAGTGGCAAAACCGTATATTGTTCTAAATTAAGTTTTATTTATCAAGTCACATCTATTCTTAAAAGTTTTGTTTTTGGTTCACCTCGATATATTTATTTTTGTGGAAAATATGGATTTTTTTAAAAAACATTGCAATTTCCAATATTTTTCCTGTATGAAGAACTAAGGTTGCTATGGTCCATCCATAGGCTATGGAGAATGACAGTGACAGTTTTGTTGAATCATCCCATACTTGGACATGTCATACACGGCTTTCAAAAGCTATTAAATTGTTTTTTGCAAATTAATGTTTAAATTTTTAGGTGTCTTCTTACTTTAAAAAATGGATATGGCTCCGACTGATGTTGCGAGAGCTATTAATTTAATCCAGGATGGACGGTCACTAAATAACGTGGCAAGTGTTTTAAACGTCACAAGAAGTAAAGTACAAAGGACAACATCAGTCGGAGACATTTTTAAAAGTAAGAAGACACCTCAAAATTAACACATTAATTTACAAAAAACAATTTGATAGCTTTTGAAAGCCGTGTATGACATGTCCAAGTATGGGATGATTCAACAAAACTGTCACTGTCATTCTCCATAGGTTATGGATGGACCATAGCAACCTTAGTTCTTTTTACAGGAAAAATATTGAAAATTGCAATGTTTTTTAAAAAAATCCTTATATTCCACAAAAATAAATATATCGAGGTGAACCAAAAACAAAACTGTTAAGAATAGATGTGACTTGATAATTAAAACTTAATTTACTTAATCTACAGAGTGTCTTAAACTTATGGTAAAGATTGTTTATGTTTAAACTTGTATATTATAAACGTACGTCTATTTTTAGTAATTTTTTAAAATGTGAGCGATTGTCCATTAATTTATCTACAATATCCTTTAATATTCGTTTAAATCCGAAATCAAACAAAAAAGTTATTTACGATTGAAATTCATCGAAAATTTGTGTGGATCGATTATTTTGCACGTGAGTGTATTTGTTACCTTTTTGGAACTCAATAATTGTTCCCCACTTTAGTCGTAACTTGGTATTGAAAGAAAGTAATATAAAGAGACCGGCGACTGTCGCAAAACGTAACGAATGGGGTAGTTAAATTTTTTCTGACCTATACTTTTTATGGTTTTATTCAAGGCGTTTTGTAATTTTAAACATTTCTGTGAAATCGGAATTTCAATTGAGTTTACCGTTTTCGAGATATTTACAAAAAATATAAATTTTTATGACGTCACAAACCTCGCCATGTGACCAACATTCTAAGATTTCTATTGGTTGAAAATTACCCTGTTGTCAAGTTGTCTTGTTAATGATTTCATTCGGTTATGTCAGAAAATACCCGAAGAGGTTATGTACAAATACTGTCACTGTCAGTTGAGTGAAAGAAGAAGAAGAAGAGGAGGTTAAAGAAAATTCTGAAATTAAAAGTTTTATTGATAGGTTTACACATTGAAACACCGTGTGAAACCTAATAAAATGTAATAAATAGGTACCTAATAACTTTCTAAAGCAGAGTTTAATATATTTCATAGAAAAAAGTGTCAAAATAAAGCTGAAAATGAATTAAATAAATTTACAAAAAATAACAATAAATGTATGTTAACAATGGTATTTATGATATTTGTGTATAGTTTTTATAAAACTTGCATCCCTGATGATGAGCATCAAAACCTTTTGTAAGATTAAAAAAATGTATGACAAACTTTTGGACGGTTTGAAGATACTACGCTCTAGAGTACATTTTTGGTCACCAAATTCATTAAGTACCTATCTTCCTTATTACGAGGTATCATATTACTGTTTGATATTTTAGAGTCCAAGATATATCTAAAAGAATATAAATTATACTAATGAAATGCATTTACGACAAAATATGATTATAATTATAGGTACTTACTTTATTTGTTTAAAAGCTCCAATGTTCAATGTAACCAACCATTCCACAAGATTCCTCTGCTTTGGAGTCCGTTATTAATAAATCAGTTATCTAATATCAATTACAAATAACATAACAATAACATTGATTTTCAATAATCTAAATTTAAAAAAAACATAACCCGAAAAAAAGAAAAGTCAAAAAAGCAATTCTTCTTCTTCTCAACTAAAATTATAGATCAAGTGGTTTTAAAACTAAAATATTATAACGTGGCGCCATCTATCGTAAGAATCTTAAACTAAACACACTGGCAACCATAGAAAAAGCTGGCAACGTTGTCAATAGCCTAGTGACGTAATTAGGAGATTTTTTTTTGTAAATATCTCGAAAACGGTAAACTCAATTGAAATTTCGATTTCACAGAAATGTTTAAAATTACAAAACGCCTTGAATAAAACCATAAAAAGTATAGGTCAGAAAAAATTTAACTACCCCATTCTTAAATTGTTGCTGTTCTGAGAGGTGATTTTTGGACTTTCTGTGAAACCTAATTTATTTTTATATTCTTGTTAATTAGATCATAACTAAAATTTTAAGAGCAAAATAAAAAAATTTTGACGGTTTGAATTGTTTTAATTGGCTGTTTATTAAAAATATTATGCACTCTTTCAATTATCCAATTAAAACTAGCGATTTAATTTAAATATTTAATATTTGCATAACTAAAAAAAAGGTTTTTACAATTTTTTTTATATATTTTACTGTTTTGTTGCAATAAATGTTCAAACTTTTAATCTAACCTTTGACGAATACATTTATGTTCCCTTAATTAATATATCCTTAAAGGTTGCCATGATCTATTAAAAATTTATTTGACGTTTGAATTGTCATTTTCAGTATACGTATTGTATAATTTTTGTTTAGTTTTTTAAAGTGTTTTTTTATAAACAAAAATGAAAAATTGTAGTAAAAGTTACGAAGAAATTCATGAAATTTAACTAAGGACCGGTTTATTCATCTTTAGTAAAGTTTATCGGGCCGATAACTTTCATGTCTTGGCAATATCTAGTATCCAAAGAAATTATTCGTCAAATAAATCAAAAATGAATAAATCGGCCCTAAATAAAATGTGGCACCCTTAGAATTATTGTTTAATAAATGTATACTATACATTTAACCTTAAATTAAAACTTTAAACGTGTATTACAACAAAACAGTAAAAGATATAAAAAATGTATAGACCTTTTTTAAGGAAATTAACTAATCTTTAATCTGATTTAAAAAGTTATGATAATATTTAAATAAAATCGCAAGTTTTAATTGGAGAATTGAAAGTGTGCATACATATTTTTAATAAACATCCAATTAAAACAATTAATTTAATTTGCTCTTAAAATTTTAGTTATGACCTAATTAACAAGAATGTAAAAAAAAATTAGGTTTCACAGAAAGTCCAAAAATCACCTCTCAGAACAGCACCGTGTTGGGTTTGTACGCACCTGGTTGATTGGCGAGGGTGGCTTTCACGGCGTCGGCGATGGCGTCCATGTTGGGGTCGTCCAAGGAGTCGGTGCTCTCCATGATGTAGATGTTCTCCCCCTCTTCCGTCTCGACGAGTTCCGTCTTCATCTGCGCGCTCTTCAGCGTGCAAGCCTCCTTGTCCGTCTCCGACGACAGGGTGATGTTTTCCGCTTCCTGCTCGTTGTCGTCGTTATCGGCTTGAATATACTTTACTATGGTGCTCTGCACGAGGTCCTGCTCGGCGCTGGTCGACTGCATCGGCTCTTGCTCCTCGTGGATCTCCGTGATTTCTTCCTGCTCTTCGCACGGGTCCTCGTCTTGGTCCGGTTCGTTGTACTCTTGCAGTTCGAGCACGTGCTGGCGCAGTTTCATGTCGGAGTTCTCGCATTTTTTGCGGAAGTTGTACGACTTTTCCAGCTGGTATTTGCACGGGTGGCATATTTTGTCCGGCAGCCCGTCGCCCTCGAAAACCTTCGATAACAAAAATTTAGGTTAAATTAACCTATTGTAAATGACCGATAGAATCCAATAAAAAATAAGTAATTGGTTTGAAATGTGTTCTGACGCTATGAATCATTCCAGTTGCATTCCTATTGGTAAGTTATTGGCTAAATCCAATAGAAATGCACCTGGAATGAATTGGTAATTCATAAAGCCAAACCCATTCAAACCAATTTATTTTTTTAAATTTGGATTAAAAATACCAGTTGATTTTTCATTAAAAAATAATTAAGATCCCAGAAGAATAACCGGGTGAAAACCAAAATTCATTTTTCACAGAAGAGACAAACAAATTATTATAACTGAGTAACTTTATTTCTTTATTATTTTTTTGAATTAGTGAGATATGTATTGATACATATAACTTACTAACACAAAAAAAAGTAATAAAAATAAATAAAATTACTCGGTTATAATCATTTTTTTGTCTTTCAATCAATATTATTTATGTCAATTTTTTTTTATTTTGTCCGCTGTAACCACCATTCTCACGCCATCGTCCCTAAACCTTAAACATATAAACCTTTTTTTAAGTCATAAGTACAGGATGATCCCCTATAATGTCGCCCCCTTTAACTTTTTTTATTTTAAGTGTCCGAAAAAATTTTAAAGTGTGGTACGTAGGTACTAAAAAATACTTTTTTTCTACGTATAAAGAAAATTGGAAAATTGATCAGTATACAGGGAAAAACAAAAAGTTTATTTTTTTTCAATGGATCACCTATATATGTATTTATTTTTCAATTCCTTGTAAAATTCTAAGCATATTTCATATACCATACCATATACCTAAATTCAACCGTTTCTGAAATATTTAAAATATTTTTAAGATAGGAAATAAGTTGAAATAGTTTGTCTTTCTCTGTCTGAGTAGGCCATTTTTACTTATTTAACAAGACATATTGACATAATGTCACTATAATAATGGGGTAGTTAAATTTTTTCTGACCTATACTTTTTATGGTTTTATTCAAGGCGTTTTGTAATTTTAAACATTTCTGTGAAATCGGAATTTCAATTGAGTTTACCGTTTTCGAGATATTTACAAAACAAAATCTCCTAATTACGTCACTAGGCTATTGACAACGTTGCCAGCTTTTTCTATGGTTGCCAGTGTGTTTAGTTTACGATAGATGGCGCCACGTTATAATATTTTAGTTGAGAAGAAGAATTGATTTTTTGACGTTTCTTTTTTTCGGGTTGTTTTTTTTTAAATTTAGATTATTGAAAATCAATGTTATTGTTATGTTATTTGTAATTGATATTAGATAAGTGATTTATTAATAACGGACTCCAAAGCAGAGAAATCTTGTGGAATGGTTGGTTACATTGAACATTGGAGCTTTTAAACAAAAAAAGTAAGTACCTATAATTATAATCATATTTTGTCGTAAATGCATTTCATTGGTATAATGCCTAGTTCTTTATATTCTTTTAGATATATTATTATTTTTTGTAAATTTATTTCATTCATTTTCAGCTTTATTTTGCCACTTTTTTCTATGAAATAAATTAAACACTGCTTTAGACAGTTATTAGGTACCTATTTATTACATTTTATTATGTTTCACACGGTGTTTCAATGTGTAAACCTATCAATAAAACTTTTAATTTCAGAATTTTCTTTAACCTTCTCTTCTTCTTTCACTCAACTGACAGTGACAGTATTTGTACATAACCTCTTCGGGTATTTTCTGACATAACCGAATGAAATCATTAACAAGACAACTTGACAACAGGGTAATTTTCAACCAATAGAAATCTTAGAATGTTGATCACATGACGGGGTTTGTGACGTCATAAAAATTTATATTTTTTGTAAATATCTCGAAAACGGTAAACTTAATTGAAATTCTGATTTCACAGAAATGTTTAATATTACAAAACGCATTGAATAAAACCATAAAAAGTATAGGTCAGAAAAAATTTAACTACCCCATTTATTTTCAATAAAAATTTTGGTATACTGAGGCTTCTTGATTTCTAACAGTTTAAAAAAACATTTAATGATAACATTTCGAATGCGAATATTTCAGAAACAGGTGAATTTAGGATATGGTTTGTTATATGAATTATGCTCAGAATTTTACTAAGAATCGAAAAATAAATTCATATATAGGGTGATCCTGTATATTGATCAATTTTTAATTTTTTTTAATACATAGAAAAAAAGTATTTTTTAGTACCTACATAACCACAATTTTAAATTTTTTGGGACACTTAAAATAAAAAAGTTAAAGGGGGGCGACATAATAGGGGATCACCCTGTACAATTGTATTTTTTAAAAATATTAAGGTGTCAAAATATACAATAATTTATTTTAAATATACAAAGGGATGTTTAAAAAAAACATACGAAATCCTAACCTCCGTGAAGCTATCTTCTGTGAAGCTCTAAATTCGATTTTTTTTACAGTTTCTCAAAACCGAAATCGTTGGGACCCGTATTTTTTTTTGCTTAAATTTGTTTTGTTCACCCGTAAGAAATTTTTGAAAAATGGACGGAAACAGAAACGATTTTTTCCTTTTTACGAGTGACATTTTTTTTTTAAATCTTTTTAATTATTAAAAATTAAGTGAATTTAATTTTTTTTTAAATTGTTTTTTCTAAAAAACGCATAATAATTGAGGTCATAATTTTGACCATTGCCACATTTTTTTTTACATCATATTTTTTTTGTTTGAAGTTGATAATATGAACTATTATATATTATATAATATAAGTCCCAAGTTGGCTAAATCCCTAGATAAAATACCAAATTTTTGCGATGAACCACGAATTTACTAGAAAATGGAGAGTTGATCATATTATCAACTTCAAACAAAAAAAATATAAAGTTAATAAAAAATGTGGCAAGGGTCAAAATATATGTTTTATAATTTAATTAGAAAATATGAGAAATTTGCATAAAAAGCAAATAATTTATTAGAAAAATCCGAGGAAAAATCTTTATTTTATTTTCAAACAAAAAGTAAAAACTCTTTGAAGTACTTTATTTAAAACATAGGAAATTGGCCAAATAAATATAGTACCTAAAAGAACAGTGCATATATTTCATCTTGCTTAAATAATCAAAAAATACAAAAAACTATCATAAAAAGCAGTAAATTTGCCAGAATCTTAAATCATTTTATTGATTAAATTAAAACATTAAAAAAGGATTAAGTAATTATATCCAATACAGAGAAGAATATAAAGTATAGAAAAAAATCATCATTTTTGTATTTACTTTTAATCCCCTGTATAGTTAAGGAAATGTAAAGGGTGATTTTTTAAGCGTGTCCGAACTTCTGACAAGTGTCGCTGTCAAACAAACTGTCAATTTTCATGCATCTAGAAACTAAGTTACTCAGTATAGTCTGACAAATCATCATGGAACGTTTAACGCTTGCAAATTGTCGAAATTTACCATCAAAACCATTGTTTTGTGCGCCAAACTTATCGTGCTCTTCGTGAATTTTATGGTATACATACGCTCAATCGAGCGATGTATTCGCCGAATCATCAAGAAATTTCGAAAGAATTTCACGCTGTTAGATATTAAAATAAAGACAAGAACAAAAACAGTGCTTTCCAAGAAAATATCATCGCTGTTGCCGACAGTGATGAGAAAGACCCAAATTTGTGAATTCGTCGACGTTCGCAGAAAGTTGGGCTTTGTTATTGGACTACGTGGGAAATTTTGAGGAAATATTTTTATTTTCTTTGTGGTAATGTTAAATCTTTGGTAAATGTAAATAAACCAGCAACTATTCAAGACTTGGAAGCTAACATAACTCGGACAATTGCGTAAATAAGACCTAAATTGCTTGATAAAATGGTCGGAAATTGGATTAATAGAATTCGCTTTGTTACAAGTAGCCGCGGAGGACATTTGTCCGAAATTATTTTTAAACAATAATGTCATTGAATGTTATTTCATATAAAATAAATATTTTTAAGATATTTAATTTGGTTGTTATTTAATTTGAATTTAAAGTTCGGACACTCTAAAAAAATCACCCTTTATTAAGTAAATGATTTAACCCCAATTTTTTAATAAGATATCTATCTATATAGATATCCACCATTAAATTGTCTCCCAATCTTTCGTAAGATCTGGGACAGGCTAAAGTATTTTTTTTTTTAGAAAATTGTAGTTGCTGGTATGTTGAATAGGTACAAATAATAAAAAAGTTCTTGTTTTCAAATAAAAAAATATGGTTTCTTTTTTGTATCTCTGGGGTAATTTTTAAGAATTTTAACACATAACTTTACCAAACTAATCATCAACAGCTAAAAAATTTGATTATAATGAAGTGCATAGGGAATGGTGTTCTGTGATTTTAATTATTTCATAAAAAAGTAACCTAGCTTTTATTACAGAAAACTAACAACAAAATAAGAATAAAAATAGCTACCTCGAGTGCAACACAGGCCATAATTCGAAGGGTGAGTGGGACAGCCTCCTCATTCGTGAAAATCGAAATAAGCTCATCCTCCTTGGTCATACACAAACGACATAATTCGTTTAAATCTATAATATCTTCTCCCGAATTGTCCTCCAATTTTTTCCTGCTGTATGTTTTCATTATTACGGATAAATTAGTAATCTATTTTAAACAGACGCTCACTACTTTATCTGTTCTGTCAAAATGGCCGATTTCTGAATGACGCTTTCTTTAGTTCGAGAAGGCGCGCGCAGATTTCCTTGTTATCGAGTAAAAGTTTGTTAGCGGTACCTGCACTGGGTACACTAGTGCAAGTAATTTGATATAATTTTGGGTATACCGGTTTTTTTTGCGTGAATACTATGATTAATAAACATAGCCTTATATGGTTAATGATTAATGTATTTTCGAGTTTGATGTGCGTCTCACAATATTAACCATACTACCCCGTATTAGTGCACACTAAATACTTCCTTCAAAAAAATTATCTGATCGGCAACATTGTAAAATAACCTTAAAATATTTTGACTTTTAACATAACCCCTAAATATGAATAGTTTAAAAGGTTTATTAAGAGTGGGTCGATGTAGGACGTTAAGATGTTTAGGCACAAACATACAAATTAGAAACAAAATAAAGGAAAATATATGTAGCCGTAATATAGCGAAAAACAATGTAAATTGTAGATTTTTGTCTTCTAGTATTGAGACAACGGTGGATACTTTGGTGTTTGAAAAAGCTTGTGAGGAAACCTTAGAATCCCTCTCAGATTATTTCGAAGAAGTTATCGAAAATTGTGATTATTTACAGAAAGCTGATGTATCGTACAGTGTATGTAAACATTATATTTTATTTTAACAATCATAGCAATATTTATTATAGAGTGGCGTTTTAACTGTTAATTTAGGAGATAAACATGGAACTTACGTAATAAATAGGCAATCCCCAAACAAACAAATTTGGCTTAGCTCACCAACTTCAGGTCCAAAAAGATATGACTACGAGGATGAGGGTAAATGCTGGATATACAAGCGAGATGGAAAAACTTTACACCAGTTGTTACAAGATGAGATTTCCAAAGTTGTGGATGTAGATTTTTCCAGGTGTGATTATGCCAAATTATGATAATAAAAGACATCATTTTAACTATTGTAATATTTATTCATTGTGAAGGTAAATAAAAGAAAACATTAAAACAAAGTTTTATTATACAGACAGTCATTGTTTTGAACTTAAAAATTATTGTAAAAAACTAAAATAAATTAAACTTTATTATTGTTGTCTTGATCCAATCGTTAACTACTTTTTATTATCTACAGAAAAGTTTTAATTTACTTTAAGCAATGTAGATGGAAGAGTTAAAATTTAGGTAGTTAACTTAGGTACCTATGTCTTTGAATACTTTAAATGTATCTTTAATAAAAAAAGTTTGTGTTTGTAAAACCTAACTTTTAATTAACGTACTCAAAATTAAAAGGACTTTTTTTTTAGCTTAAGAGGAATAAAATTAAATCTCTCATGACCTACAAAGGGTAAATCGTGAGATTTACTTGTTGTAGGTTACATTTGAAACCAGGTCAATAAGGCATGATTAAAATTTTTTGACTAAATTTCAAACATGTCTTGTTCCACTGGCTTGGAGACCCAAGAGCCCAAACCGCTTTTCTTAAATGCCTCGTACAAACTTATTTTTGCTACCTGAAATATTGAAAATACAAAATTAATTTTTGAATTAATCAGCAGCATAACATAACATCAAAATGTCTATGGGAGGAAGGAAGGGTACGGAAATCTATAAAGAGCACTACGTTTTTTTATATTGTACATTTCTCAGAAAATGTTATTCTTCACAAAAGTTTTTGCTGGATTTCAAATCCCCCAAAAAAACGCAACACATCATTTTTAGTGTCTATGGTTCATTTGCAATTTTGATTTTTCTGAAAATTTTGGACTGATAAAAATTTTTGTTTATTAATTATTTAATATTTGATTTATTTTTAATACAAAAACTCTCACATTACATTGAAATGTAAGTTTTAAATTTTAAAATGTATAGACTATCATTTAACCTATAACTTTTTAGAATAAAATATTAAAACTACAATTTAAAAAATAAACAATAATTTAAACTTTTACATTTGCATTTCATATTTAAAATATTTTTTGATTATCTATTGTTTTGAGTTCACAAAAATTTAACTTTTGAAACTGTTTTGGTAGAAAATGTTTTAAATGTGTTTATATTTTAAATGTCTCAACACTATTTTTAAATATTAAAAAATTTAACTTTACGGCCATTCCACGCGTAACGGAGGGGACAGTTGCAAGTTTTTATTTACAAAATAATATTGTTATATTATATTGATAATGTACAATTTTTATAAATAGTTCAAAACAAAAGCTGTTTAAAAAGGTTTTTATTTGGCAAAAGTAGGTATCGTGGTGGTATGTTTAATTCCTTAAAAAAAATTTATATTCAAAAACAGTACTAGTAGTTTTTTGAATAAAAAAATTAATTTTTAAGGAATTAAATGGTCAACGACGATATCACAAATTTTCAGAAAAATCAAAATTGGGAAATGAAAAATGTGTTTCAATTCCCGAAAATATCGGCAAAACCTAAAAATTTACATTTTTTTTTCAGGTAAATTTTGAGTTAGATGGGTAGTTAATACCTGTCTCTATCCTGTATTGAAAAAAATATATATAAAATACGTATATTTTGTCTTGTACATCAGTTTAAACTTGATGCTTTCAGTTAAAGCTACTTTACACGCGATCGTTGCGGAACATTGTTTATTGTTTAAAAGTGAAAACTTGTGTTTGGTGTGTCCGATTGTTATGCGGTTTGATGAAGGGTGATCTTCAAGGTATGTAAAATTAGATATGTATTTGTTTTTCGTAGATTTTGCTAGTACAACGGGTTATTGTAAACGACAAGATCGGTCTGTTAAAATCGCAAACTTTGAATCGAGCTTTTAGAACAATGGAGCTACAAAAATTGTAATGAATTGTAAGGCATCAGTTCAAGATCCGTTGAATAGCTTAGAGTTTGTCTATCAAGCCATCAATAAATTATCTGCCCCAACTCGCCCCCGGCTCTTTAAAACTACATGTTCTTGGGCGCTCAGGCACGGTTGTGGTAAAAAACCTCGCGATTTTATGTCGCGCGCGTATCTGTGTTTTTGTTTTACAAAATATAAGATTTTTTTTTATTTCTGGGCTGTGTTCATGACGTTTACTCGATTCACTCGGATTTAACTCAAAACGTTTATTACAACAGTGGTGTCTAGACTTTCACTTGCGTAAATCGTTCGTGACTACTAAGATATTTAACACCGATTTTACATATTAGGTGCGTTAAACCAACTCCGCATGCGCATTGTAGTGTGTTAATGTCAAATTTGAATTGTGGTTATTTGTGTTGTGTTTATAAAAAGATGTTTTATTTAAAAAGAACCTCTCACGGGTTTTTAATTAAAATGTCCACCATTTTTAATTTTGGAATTCTGATTCCAGATTCATTATCAGCGACCCCAAAAACCCCTGCATGGTGATTTTCAATTTATTCCGTCAATTTTTTGACAAATATGTCCGCCATTTTGGATCTATCATTTTGAATTTTGGAATTCTGGTTCCAAGTTCGTTATCAGCTACCCCAAAAACCCCTGCATGGCGATTTTCAATTTATTTCGTCAATTTTTTGACAAATATGTCAGCCATTTTGGATCTACCATTTTGAATTTTGAAATTCTGATTCCAGATTCGTTATCAGCTACCCCAAAAACCCCTGCATGGTGATTTTCAATTTATTCCGTCAATTTTTTGACAAATATGTCCGCTATTTTGGATCTATCATTTTGAATTTTGGAATTCTGGTTCCAGATTCGTTATCAGCGACCCCAAAAACCCCTGTATGGTGATTTTCAATTTATTCTGTCAATTTTTTGACAAATATGTCCGCCATTTTGAATTTTGGAATTCTGATTCCAGATTCTATATCAGCGACCCCAAAAACCTCTATAAACGGATTTTTAGGAAAATCCGACTACTCCTTGATATTTTACCGAAAATTTTGAGAATTGAAACACTGTGCGCCCCTGGAATTAATGAACAAAATCAAACTGTTTTACAGTCCCAACAAAACAACAAAAAAATGCTAAAACATAACATAAAAAAGAAACGAATGCAATTTGACAACTGCTCTATATGTTATTGGTTTAAATTTCTAAAGACTCATTTAAATGATAGTTGATAAATTTTTAATCCGAAAATTACCACTTTCAAATTTAAAGCTAACATTTAAATGCAATCTAAGAATTTTTGTATTTAAAATGAATAGACTATCATTTAACCAATAATTTTGTAGAATAAAATATTAAAGCTAAAATTAAAAAAAAACCAATAATTTAAACTTTTACATTTGCATTTCATATTTAAAATATTTTTTGATTATCTATTGCTTTGAGTAAAAAAAATTAAACTTTTGAAACTATTTTGGTAGAAAATGTTTTATCTGTGTTTTAAGAAAAAAAATAGAGATGGGAATCGGAAAGTTTCAATTTTAAGGAAACTTTCCGTTTTGGAAAGTTTCCAATTGGGAATTTATTTTCATTTTGAAAGTTTCTTTTAAGCTACCGGAAACATTCCTTGGAAACTTTCCTTGTTTTTTTCATTTAAATGTCAATTGTTTAACCGCTGATTTTCGTTAAGGCCATGATACAAGGCCAAGAAACTTTGAATAAGAATTTAATTTGTGTTAATTTAAAGCAGAAGCAGAAGTATAAATAATGTAAGTTATGTTACATAACCTCAATGAAGCCGGATTATTCAGCATCAACACAAAAAACTTTTTTTAAAAAAGGTAAACAAAATAAATACAATAAAAAAAGTTAAAATCATTCTTACTGTCTGTCCACTCTAAGTTGGCTGAACTAAGGAATTTTGTAGTTTAGATATTAAAGAATTGTCGTACTGTGTGCTTTTAAAACAGATTTTATATTATAAATAATACTGGTATATAATAATATTATGTACTAGTATTATTTATAATATAAAATCTGTTTTAAAAGCACACAGTACGACAATTCTTTAATATCTAAACTACAAAATTCCTTAGTTCCGCCAACTTAGAGTGGACAGACAGTACATTTTTGTTGTTTATTTATAGGCATAGCACAATGCCAAGAGAAAAATCTAGTGTTTGGAATTATTACAAAATAGTGCAAAAAAAACAAAAAAGACCATGCTCAAAGCAAGTTCTGTAAGAAAATCTATGTCGTTAATACAACCAAAAATTTGACAAAAAGTTAATGTGTTATATATTTTTGCAAATCCCTGGCATAAAAAAATATTTTTGCAAAAAAAATTTTTTTTTTGAAACTTTCGGAAAATTTCGGGAATTTTCGATGGAAAGTTTCCGGGAATTTTCGTCAAATGGGAATTTTCCCATCTCTAAAAAATACATCAAACGACGATAAAAAATGTATTTTTTCGAAAAATTGAAAAGTAAACAATATTATTTCCAAACAAATTTTGCAAAAAATTCTAACCATTATTTTTTAATAAAAATAATTTCTTAAAAATAATGTACAGTCCCTTGGCCACAAAAAATGCTGAAATATAACTAATGCAGTTTGACAATAGCGCCATATAAAACGCATGAAACTGGAATGGAAAAATATGAAAACGCGACTTACGTGGTAGTTTTTGGCGGATTCCTTCGTTTCGCAGTAGGTGGCGGGGCAGTCTTTCAGATCCGTGATCGTGCTCAACCGGCCCACCAGATTCTTGAACTTGTGCACGAACCGCTGCTTGCACACGTTCGGATGACCCGTTTCCGGCTTGCCGGTGGTCGTCGCGATCACTTCCGGCGCGGGATCGCCCGCCCGCCACAGCACCGCGAAACTCGGCGCCTTCGAAGGCTGCCGGATCTCCTTGAACGACAGCAGCAGCATGCCCGGCCTGTTCAGCAGGTACGGCGGGGGAAGCCCCTGCAGCGTGTTCTCGATTCTGCCGCAGATGGCTCTGAAAGTTTCCGATAAATATGTTTATCCGAAATCGGCAGTAAAGTAGTCAACAATCGGCAGTAAAGTAAAAGAAATCGGCAGTAAAGTAGAACTTTAGATTTAAAACAAGTATTGTATGCAATTCATTATACATTTTAAGATGTGTCTACTGCTCCTCAGCAAATGTTGTTTAATAAAAATAATTAGATTATTTCCCTCATTATAATATGAACCAATCAAAAGCCTTGAATTTTCGAATAAATTTCGTTTAAATAAGCGATTAAATCACTAGAACTATTTAATAGCGATTAAATTTTAGCCTCCATATTGGATTTTTGTTTACGATTTTATGGTGTTAGTTTTAACAAACATTTTTTAAAAAACAATAAAAAATAAGTTATCTAGTTTACGAAATATCAATTATTACTTATTACATACCTTAAATTAATGGAATTTTCTTTAAAAAAATATTTATAAATTTTGACACATACGTCAGATTTTATGAATTGTCAAATAGTTTCCTTTAATTCGAGAAATAATCTAGACGTATATCACTCAACCTATAAATTTAATCTGTGAAACTATGCTCAGTAAGTTTTTTATTTGATTTTTCTTTTTGGAAAATAGTTTCATGCAAAATAATTAAAAATAAAACCCCTCGACCGCTACGCGGTCTCGTGATTTTATTAAATCATTTTGCATTCAACATTTTCCAAGAAAAACTAAACAAAAAACTACTGAGCCTAGTTTAACCAATTAAATTCATAGTTCTCGTGATATAATATATGATTAAAAAATTGCCGCGGCGGTCAAATATATAATAACCGTCGCAACAAACAGTATACGTAGACACTTCCTACATTCAAATGACATTTGATTTAATCATCAATATTAATTATTAGTATTATTAAATTTGATTTCGGATAAAATTTAATATGCACCTCTGCATTAAAGTCATTTTTTATCACTCACGTGGTTATTTGCCTCGGCAAATAATTTCCTCATTCGTGATAAAAATACGACTTTACTGCCTTGATACATAAATAACTATTATAGGTAGTCTACTGCGCCGCCGGCGTGGTTTTAAAAATTGGTTTTAAAATTTTATTGCAGCACCGCTGAGTTTTTATTAAATTCATAATTTCAGTTAATTTTTATACTCTATTAAATTGCTAATATAGTACTATAGTAATAGGGTAAAGTAGACAGTTATCAGACACTTTATAGTTATTGGTCGATTAACATTAATACTAATACTAATAATTCTATAAATAGTTACCTTAAAGTCAAATCATTAGATGACGCTGTATACAATTATAACTATCTCAGTCGGTAATAATATAGAACTACTTTATTTTGGGACTAAAAAGTTAGCACGTTACTTTGGTGGTAAGATTTTTGTTTTTTTTGCTAAGAGCAGGGATGTGTTTAAATTACAACAAAAAATATTTCTGAAAACTGTAAAGATCAGTGAGTGGTATAAATGTGTTCCTCATGGTTTAAACATTGTCACTTTAATGCGTTTTAATTTTAATTCTGAAAACAAACAGTAGAATGGCTAGTGTCCAATTACTGGTTGGTAAAAAATCTAAATTTCTATTACTGGACATATGTCCAATATCATACTCTTTTTATATCCCGGGCATTTACCAGCCAATTATTATGTAAAATTGTCCCCTAAATACAAAAAGACCGTCAAAAACTATAAAAGTCAAGCAGTTTTTGAGATATGGTTAATTCCATATTATATGTAAAATTGATTATATTTCAAAAACTGTACTACTTTTATAACTTTTGGCAACATTTTCGGATTCAGCGAATAATATTTCATAGGAATAGACTGCTAAATGTCCTGGATACAAATTGCTGTTGACGAGAATTATTAGTGGCTGCTTTTTCGCTATGACATTTTTGTCTAATTCATTTTTAGAGAGTAAGTAATATAGTGATTTCTTCGTCACAGGACATCTTGCAGAATAACAGTGATTTAAATACAGTGCATGATGGAGAACATAAAAAACTAATGGCAACAAAATTAATAAATTCGGGAAATAGTTTTAACATACCACCCGAAAAAATATTAGATATATATAAATCATCCTGTTCCGGCCTAAACATTATAAATGCTTCACAAACTAGAGATACCACACTTAATGATATTTGCAACAAACTATTTCAGAAGTTAGACCAAGGAATTAGTAGTTACCTTCAGAATCCAGAAAAGGGATGAGGAATCCGAGAAAGAAATTTATGAAGTATATGATATTAATAATAAAAAATTACCTAAAACAGCAATTTATCTTTAAAAATTATTTAACAATTTATGTTATTTGATGTAAAGTTGTCATGTTTATATAAAAATTGTATGTCCAATAACTATGGTCCATGTGTCCAATTACTATACTTTTTTGCATGTTTTTATAAAACTATTATTAAAATTCAAATATTCTTATTTTTAAGTAAACGTAAATAAAAACAAACTATCCTTTTTACATATTTATAAGAAAAAACTAAAATCTTTAAAACAACGGCATATATAAATTTTAAATAAATAATATTCCTTAAGTGTCCAATAACTATGTGGTTTACCCTGTTATTTATTTAACTTTAAAACATATGATATAAAAAGTATAATAGTAATAGTTACCTACCTGAACAAGTGGGTTTCTTTTAATAAACTTCCTAAGATTACGTTACTAAAGTATACTGGTTCAATAAAATGCGATAAAAGGGCCCCTTGTACGCCTAGGACATTCCATTTACATAATTTATCGGAACATGACATGGTCAGCAACCTTTCCCCCTAAAATATGCAAATAAACTGATAAAAATCACATATTAAGAATATTAACAATTCTCAATAGGGAAGTATGCGCAAGTCAAATTCTGTTTTTTTAATTCTTTAATTTTACAATCTTGTAATTTTATATTCTTTTTTTTATGCACTGCGCGTCAAAATTAACGCATAACAAGTAAAAAACATCCAACTCTAAAACGCCTTTACCAATCTCTATGAAATTTTGTATAAAAATACTTTAACTTATATCTCAGTTTACGTGTTCAAGGGTTTACCGAGAAAATATCGTTGAAGCCCTTTTATTTAATAATAAAAAACGCTCGAAAAAAATCTTTTATACGCTAAAGAAGTATCGCTAGTAGCGCCACCGGCGGTTTTCCAAAAAACAGTGTTAATCCGAATGAAGAAATAAATGTCATACAGTCTCTGTAAATATAAATTGTATCTATTAGATACAATAAATACAAATTTTAGTAATGATTAACGTGAAAAGTGTAAACATTTCAATTCAGTAATAATAGTCAAACAAATAAGTCATCTAAATTTAAACAGCATTTAGCATTATTAAAAGCGTTGATTAAGAATTCTTTAAAGTCTCCACTCAACGGTAAAATACCATTATATTATGTATTATATATAATATTATTTTGCCATGAATTCGTAGGTATATTTTGTTCTTTAAAATGCAGTTGTCGGGGTTTTTAGAGAACTCAAATATAAAAATGGTTGATTTTAAGGTTGTTTGTGCAAAAATTAATAATAATAATAATAATAATAAACTTTATTGGAAATCCAAAAGGCTAACGACTTTCGTCTTCCTGCCCAATTACAATTTTGTATATAACAAATACTATATTTTAATTTATGTTCTATACTTTACAAAAAAAAAAAAAAAATGTTATAATTAAATATATTGTTAATATCTTCATTATTCTTCTGTCAATTCCCTGAGTGAGTCATACAACGATTTCTCTGGGTATTTTCTCCTTGGTGTTGTCTCGAGTTGTGTTTTAAGAATCAAAGGTTCCATCACATTAAGGTTTTCGGGTTTGTTGGCAAATTTTTTCGCTAGGTATTCCAATCTTTCTTGTATGGGTTGTATTCCAGTGATATGGTAAAGGGCTTCATTGGATGGGTTAAATAAGGAATTTTGAGGATGTCTGATTTTTGTAATTTTCCTTATGCTTGTGCGCTCGCCTATCTCTATGTTTGTTAGGGTGGGTTTTCTGCAATTTATAAAAAGAACTGATCCATATTCCAGCACTGGGCGACAGATTAGTTTATAAATGTTGGTTGCCACAGCAATATTTATTCCCTGGTCTTTATAAGTTAAGCTTCTAAAGTGCTTGGCCCTGTTTATAATACATGTCTTGGTGTGGCTTGTGTGTTGTTTGAAGTTTAACTTGGAGTCTATCAAAATTCCCAGGTAACGACATGATGTTGAAGGTTCTACTGTACTTTGCATAATATTTATTGTGGGCGAATTTTCTTTTATTTTGTGATGGAACAGTAGTAGGCGTGATTTTGACGGACTTGGTAGGATTCTCCATTTAGACATCCATGACGATACCTGATTGGTTAGTTCTTGTAGTTTCACAGTTGCTTCAGTTGTCGTTTTTCCATGCGTTATCAAAACTGTGTCGTCAGCATATTGGAGAATATAGCTCTGTCTGTTTATGTTTAAGTGGTCCAAATTGTACATGTCATAACAAAATAAATTGTACAAGAACGGTGATAATGGTGAGCCTTGTGGCACTCCTTGTTCTGGTGAAAAGGTGGGGGATAGTATATTGCCAATTTTTACTTGTATTTTCCTTTGTGTGAGAAATTCTTTTATTATCCATACCAAATAATTCGGGCTTTCCAATTTCACCAATTTTTTCAGCAACCCATCGTGCCATACGGAATCGAAGGCTTTACAAATATCCATAAACAGCGCAGTTGATTTATTTCCCTCTATACTCTTCTGTTGTACATTTGATGTTAAAACAATTAGTGGGTGAGTAGTGGAAGTTTGTCTCTTGAATCCAAATTGGTATATTGGGATTTTATGTCCAATGGCCTGTTCTAATCTATTTTTAATAATTTTTTCAAAAGTTTTTCCGACAACTGGCAATAAGGTGATGGGCCGGTAGTTGCCTGGGACAGTGTGATCCAAGTTCGGTTTAGGAATGGTAATTATTCTTCCTTTCTTCCATTCTTCCGGAAAATAACTATTATGCAGGCAGAAGTTATAAATTTTTATTATTTGGTCATGGATTTCCTGGTCAAATTGCTTTAAAACCATTCTAGGAATTTGATCATGTCCTGGTGCCGTATTCTTCCCGTTCAAACTCTCGAAATATTCGTCTTCAGTTACATTTTCTATATTTTCATTTAAGTTTCTTTGAGTAAAGTTATCTCTTACCCAGTTATGTGTATTATTTTTATAATTTCCATCAAAACTTACATTTTCCGTAAACTTAAAATTTTTTTCAAATTGTCTTGCAAAGGCATCAGCAATTTCTTGCTCTGTTTGTAAGATTTTATTGTCTTCTTTTATATAGTGAATGTGGTTATATTTTTTATATCGAGAGAGTTTCTTTATTTCACCCCAGTATGACCGACCCTTTGCTACGTTGATATTTTGGCATGCTTCTAGATATTTATCTGCCCTATATTGTAGAATTAATGTATGTATATCCTTATTTAATTCGTTGTATTTTCTTTTAAGTATAGGGTCGTAATTAATTTTTATCTCTCTATATAGTTGTTTCTTTATTTTAATTAGTTTTATGATGAATGGTGGTAATGTATGTGCAAAGAAGCTTGTTTTTAAAATAGGAGTATGTTTTAGAGTAATTTTGGTGATATTTTTTAGAAAGGAGTCAATTGTTTGAGGAGAAATATTCTCATGTAGGTTCATTGTCTGGATGATTTCATTATTTATAGCTTCTATATTACTTTTTTTAAAATTATATTTGATGTTTTCTGGAATGGTTTGTGGATTTTTTTCTATATCAAAGTTAAATTGAATGGCAAGATGATCGGATCCTAAATCAGGTATTAGTTCTACTTCTGTGATATTGTTAATGATGTTTTTTGTACAGAGCAAAATGTCTGGAGTAGTGTCACTATTATTTGGCATTATAAAAGTAGGAGGGGTGTGGATTTGGGTGAAATCTGAATTGTTTAAAAAGTTTTGTATTTGTTTTTTTCTTTTATTTGTAACATTAAAATCTCCTATGATGATTGCATATTTGTACTGTGATGCTTTCGTAAATAAATTTTCCTCTATTAATCTATTACTATGGTGCATGTAAACCAAAAAAAAGTGTATTTTGTCGGTTTTGTAAGGAATAGTAAAATGTAACACATCATTGTAGGGGTTGTTAAAGTGTGGAGGATTTGATTTACCTATTTTAAGCCTGCGATCACCTTGAACCAAAGCACCCCCTCTTGTATTATTGTTGAGTATGTTGCCATGTTTATATATGGTTGTCCAATCCCTATATTGCATGGAACGATCTTCGTTTGTTTTTGTCTCTACAAACATGCTGCATTGAATATTATTTTGTTCAATATAGTGGTTAATTAAATGTTTTTTTGTAATGTAGCTGTTGATGTTTGAATAAATAAATTTAATTGTTGTTGACATGAATTTGGATTCCATCATTGGGTTCTGTTGGGGAGTGACTGTTTTCTTCATCTAAATCGAACATCAAAATGTACAGGCGATTTCCCACAAATGTTGGCACAGTGTTTATATTAAAACCGTCTATAAAACGTTTTTGTAATCTAGAAATTAGTTCTTGCCTGTCTGTATTTGTTGGTTTATTTATTTTTTTTATGTACGTATTGATAATATAATCATGAATTGTCACCGCCGAATGAATTTTATGATTTTTTGTAATTTTCTTGTCTATTTCACTTGTAGTTTTGTTTAAGGAACGAATTTTAATGTTTGGAATACCTTCAATAGGTTTCATGGGGCGTTTTGGACATTTAATTGACCAAGCAACATGCTCTGTAGACCTACAAGCTGTACATGATGGGGGTAAATTGGTTTTGCATTCCCTATCTTTATGATTTCCGGCGCATTTCGAGCATTTTGCCTCTGTGTTACAATTTTCAGTTGTATGGGAAAATTGGGAACATTTTGCACATGGTATTGGTAGCGGTTCAGGAGGATGACTTGGGTATGCTGGATAGTAACGAAATTTGTAGTAAATCCCTTCGTTAATTATCTTTTCATATGCTTTAATCTCTCCTGTAATGATTCTTATGTATAAGGAGGGTTTGTTTGTTTTTTTAGAGATTATTCTTTTACAATACCTGTGTTCGATTCCGTTATCTTTTAAAACAACACTTATTTCTTTTTCTTCAATATCTATGTCAACATTCGATATCACTGCCGAGAAGGATTGGTTATGTATTTTTTTTGAAGTTGTTTGTTGTGGGGTATTATTGGATAATTCGTATGTGTTAATAAAACCACAATCTTTCAATATTTTAAGGGTAGCTAAGGTGTTTTGTTTGTTATTGTTTGATTTGATAATAAATCCTTTTTGTGTTTTTAAGATTATTTCCTTTGAGTTTTTAAAGTAGGTTGCCCATTTGTCCGCCAGTTGGATTCTTGTTAGTTCATCTGGAGCAGTTATATAGAAAACGTTTTCATAGGTTTTTCTAAATATAGCTTGCATTTTCGGTGAAAGTGATGAGTTACTTGTTGTAGGATTGTTGTTTGTTTCTGCTGTTTGACGTGTATGAGTAGCTTTATAACTTGTGTTTGAATCTGATTGTGTGTGGTATGCTTGGTTTTTTGTACGAGCGTTTTTATCACTTGTTGTTTTTGTATACTTTTTGTTTTTGTTTACTCCTATAATTTCGGCGATCTCGTTTTCTGTGTATTCAGTGGTATCTGAGTCGTTATTTTTTTTTCGTTTTTTCTTATTATAGGCCGGTATGGTAAATTCTCCCTCTGCATTTTCATCATGATTTTCATCATCCACTTCCATTATGTGACACCTTACACTATTTGAGTTTAAGTTTCACGGCTAAATTTAGTTTTATTTTTTTTTATTTTTTTTTTTTTTAACGATGCGTACACGAACAAGGTCAAAAAAAAAACTGCAAAAATTATTTTTTACTAATTTATATTTAAGTTTGGACATTTTTAAGAAAAAAAAAAAAAAAAAAAAAAATTATTTTTTACTAATTTCTTAAAAATGTCCAAACTTAAATATAAATTATATTAGGTAAAGTTATCATTAGTTCATTCTGCACCAACAAATGTACTTACCAAATTGGATCCTTTGGCAAAACATGAAAATGCAACGATTTAGTTCTTGGATTTTATTTACAATTAAAAACACAATAATTCACCATGATCCCTTAGATAAAATACACACTAACGTAACTATATAAGCATTTAAGCGTTGAGTTTCTTAATCAATCATATAAAGAATAATCAATCGAAATCGAGTACTAAACCAGTTTTTTAGTTTTTTCCTTGCAACGTAAAACACAAATAACGTGCGCGATTTAGCTGTGCAATTGAACAAAATTTGTCGGGTAAGACTTCTGCCTTCCTTTCTTTTGCGAAAAAACTACCTATTTATTTAAAAAATGCTGTACAGTTCGTATGCTTTAAATGTATTGTTGACAATTCTTAAATTCACTCAATGCTTTTGTACACCAGCAAGATAATCAAAAACGGGTCATTTTTACCGACTTTGAAGCGCTGTATAATCGTTAATGTTCGTTTGATTTGTACAAAATTTTCAGGGTATACTAACAAAAATACGGTGTTTAACAGCATATTTTTTATTTACTTAAAAAAATTCCCTAAAAGTTATTTTTTCGAACGTTTTTTATTGTTGAATAAAAGGAATTTTGATTGACCTATATGTTTTCATGATAAAAATTAAATTAAAAAAAATATTACATTATTTTAGTGGTAAATGAAAAAAAATATTGCTTAACGACTCTTGTAATGTCAAATTTATGTTCCGCATGAAATTTCGTGCTCAATTTTTTAATAAAACTGAGTATTTCCGCTGCAATACCGAAAAATCGGCAAAATTGATGGCGAGTTAAACTTTGATCTTTAATAACTTTTTAACCAATCGGTCTAGCAAAAAATCATAGGAAACCTTTTTTGTAGAGCGTTTAATTCTCTACAAAAATATTCCTATGACTTTGGTTGGTAAAAAATCAGAAGAAAGAAAACAAATTTTTACCATGTTAAATCGAAAAGTGCGATATGGAGAATTAAGATATTAAAATTAATAGCTCAAATTTTCAAAAATTTGGCTTCTAAAAAAAACCCTAGTAGAGATAATTTTAATAATGGAAAGTTGCGGACAGGATTTGCAGGGTTGAAAACCAAGAAATTAAATTATATTTATCACTATAATAACATTCTAAACATACCTGTATGACTCCATCCCACGTCTGACTAGTGTTCCCTTTGATCGGAATAGTTCCCTCTCCCGACTCGATTTTCGTCCTCAACAGTCCCCTGGAACTTCTGTTGGGGTGCTTATCGACGGCGGAATTTTCCTCGTGCGGGCTGAATATCCTCGCGTCGCCGCAAGGGGCCGTGCTAATGTACAAATGGAACTTGATGCCGGGCTTCAGCTTGTACCCGCAACCTTCCGGTCGCAGGGCGAATATGGACTTTTCGGCTTCTTCTAAAGTTTTGCAAAGTTATAGTTATTTTAAAGCCTGTTATAAATTCTTTGTAATTCTTTTGGGTAAATTAATAAAAAAAATTAAAAGTCTTGCTATTTTAAAAATAAAGGTTAAAAAACATAGGGTAAAGTAGACAGTTATCGGACACTTTATAGTTATTGGACAATTAACATTTATACTGTAAAAACAAGAGTTCTGTTACCTTAAATAGTTACCTTAAAAGAAAAAGTTTATAAAAAGTTTGTTTATGAAGTATACCTTTAAACTTATTGTATACACACTATACACAATAAAAGCATGTTGCATTATACAAAAAAAAACACAACAAAATAATAATTACATTCAGTGTTAAGAGTGCGTGTATATAAAAGAACTTTTTTTATAGAATTTAACATGTAGACTGCGAATAGTATCGTGAGCAAATGCATGTGTATTAATTTCACCTTATAAGATACGAATGTCAGATTAAGAAAAACTATCATTAGTCTGATTCAAATTGATATAATCATGATGGATTAGGGTTTTATCGAAAGGGGATAACTTTTTGTTATTAAATTGTTAAGGAAAAAGTATTGTGCTACTTGTAGTTATAATTATATATTTTTCTACGAAGTTTTCTTACAAAAAAGCTCACTAAAGATAGGCTAACTATTAATTGTTTGGGTGGAGGTATAGTATAAGTATTAGAAATAAGCCAAATAACGTGAGTATAATTTAAATTTAAGACTTAAACTGAATCCAAAACCTCGCGGGAATTTCTTTGCCATCTAATCCTCTTTCAGCTTCAGAAATCCTTAATTACAGCTAATGCAATTTCACGGTGGATATAATTAAAAAAAAAGAAAAGAACAAAAGGGTAAAATAGACAGTTATCGGATACTTTATAGTTATTGGATAGTAACCTTAAAGTCAAATCATTAGATGGCGCTGTATACAATTATAACGGTCGGTCGGTTACTTTATTTTGGATCAATATAGGACAAAAAAGTTTGCACATTACTTTGGTGGTAAGATTTTTGTTTTTTTGTTAAGGGCAAGGATGCGTTTAAATTACAATACAAAATATTTCTAAAAAGTGTAAAGATCAGTGTGTGGTATAAATGTGTTCCTCATGGTTTAAACATTGTCACTTCAATGCGTTTTAATTTTAATTCTGAAAACAAACAGTAAAATGGCCAATGTCCAATTACTGGTTGGTAAAAAACTGTAAATTTCTATTATTGGACATATTATGTCCAATATCATACTCTATTTATATCCCGGGCATTTTTCAGCCAATCCTTATGTACAATTGTCCCCTGAATCCAAAAAAACCGTCAAAAACTATGAAAGTTGAGCAGTTTTCGAGATATAGTCAATTCTATATTATATGTAAAATTGATTATATTTCAAAAACTGTTCTACTTTTATAACTTTTGACGACATTTTCGGATTCAGCGAATAATATTTCATATGAATTGACTGCTGTCCTAGATACAAATTGCTGTTGACGAGAATTATTAGTGCTTTTTCGCTATTGACTAATTCATTTTTAGAGACTAAGTAATATAGTGATTTCTTCGTCACAGGACATCTTGCAGAATAACAGTGATTTAAATACAGTGCATGATAGAGAACATAAAAAACTAATGGCAACAAAATTAATAAATTCGGAAAATACTTTTAACAAACCACCCGAAAAAATATTAGAACAAAAACTAATTACAAACCCTCCAAAACAAAATTATCAAAATTATATTAAACCCATTTTAACCAACACCAAAGAACTCTATGAAAACTTAAAAATACATAACATAAAATCTCTAATAAGGATAAACAGCGTAAAACTAATTTATGGAATTAAACATAATCTTATTAGTGGTAATATTAACCTAGTCAGGAATTGTGATATTCATAAATATAATACAAGAAAAAAACAGCTGTACTACCTTACTGCTTGTACCACAAATGTTACTCAAAAAAGAATAACATATAAAGCACTACAATGGTTTAATGAATTACCTGGTGAAATTAAGGAACTGACCAACTTAGATAAATTTACAAAGGCTGTGAAGCAATATTATATAGACTCTAAAATGTGATATTTAAATGTAATATAGATTAAATTATACCTACCATATTTATCCACTTTATATTTATATATTATAGTTAATCTTGTATTTATGTTTATATGTATAGTTATTTGTAATATCTGCTTATGTAATGCATTCCTGTGATGGATTTGTGTAATCTTTTTGGGAAATAAATAAAAAAAAAGATATATAAATCATCTTGTTCCGGCCTAAACGTTATAAATGCTTCACAAACTAGAGATAACACACTGAATGATATTTGCAACAAACTATTTCAGAAGTCAGACCAAGGAATTAGTAGTTACCTTCAGAATCCAGAAAAGGGATGAGGAATGCGAGAAAGAAATATATGAATTATATGATATTTACAAAAACGAAATAAAAAAATTACCTAAAACAGCAAGTTATCTTTAAAAAATATTTAACAATTTATGTTATTTGATGTAAAGTTGTTATGTTTATTGGAGTGGTCCAAAAAAATTCCCTCCAAAGCGCAGCTTAATATCTCAATTCTCCACTAAGCTTAATGAATTTTTATTTTCCCATTTAAATAACGAGGAAAAATTTCTTTTTTTAATTTCTCATCAATGATTCTTGTAGAAAATTTAATTTTCTACAAAAAAGTCCTGAATAAGTTTTTTCGTAATCCTAACGGGTAAAAAGTTATTAAGCTTCAAATACTTCCTACTTAGTAAATTTGAAGTAAGATCATTTCAAAGCAACTTTTTGAAGATATTGACATTATTTAATATAGATAATTTTTATTAATTTAAAATAATTTTCTATATTAAATAATGTCAATATCTTCAAAAAGTTGCTTTGAAACGATCTTCCTTCAAATTTACTAAGTAGCAAGTATTTGAAGCTTAATAACTTTTTACCCGTTAGGATTACGAAAAAACTTATTCAGGACTTTTTTGTAGAAAATTAAATTTTCTTCTAAGAATCATTGATGAGAAATTAAAAAAAGAAATTTTTCCTCGTTTTACCGGATAAAAACGAAAAAAAAAATTTTTTACGTGTTATTTAAATGGGAAAATAAATATTCTTTGAGCTTAGTGGAGAATTGAGATATTAAGCTGCGCTTTGGAGTAATTTTTTTTTATACCTAAAAGAAGGTTTTGAGTTGATAAGCAAAAAAAAAATATTTTTTTGGACCACTCTAATGTTTATATAAATATTGTATGTGTCCAATTACTATATTATATAAAATGTCCAATTACTATACTTTTTTGCATGTTGTTATAAAACTATTATTAAAAATTCAAATATATTTATTTTGAAGTAAACGTAAATAAAGTTTAAACAAACAAAGTATCCTTTTTATATATTTATAAGAAAAAAAACTAAAACACCTCATAAAGAACAAGAAGAAAAATTACCTGGATTGAGCAATTTCTCGAGTTCCGCGTAGAAGAAGCTGACCAGACATCTGCGGCTGAGAATTTCGGCGTGCATGTCATTTATCGACAGTCCCATCATGCTAATGTACTCGCCCGAGACGCACTTGGTGCCCGTCGCGACGGCGATGACGCTGGCCGTCGTCAAGTCGTCATCGCGCGTCATCACTATACCAGCTAAGACTTTCCTTTTGGAGTGGTTCATGTCGTTTTCCATGAGAGCGGCAAATTTGTCGTTTATCATTCTAAGAAAAATAAGTTCCTTGGAAATTTTGCTATTTTTATTACTTTATTACTACACTCACAGGCAAAATAATCGATCCACACAAATTTTCGATGAATTTCAATCGCAAATAACTTTTTTATTTGTTTTCGGATTTAAACAAAAATTAAAGAATATTGTAGATACATTAATGGAGAATCGCTCACATTTTAAAAATTACTAAAAAATACAAGTACGTTTATAATAAACAGGTTTAAACAAAAATATGTTTTTTACTATAAGTTTAAGACACTCTATAGAGTGGCAAAACCGTATATTGTTCTAAATTAAGTTTTAATTATCAAGTCACTTCTATTTTTAACAGTTTCCCTTTGTACTTTACATCAGTCGGAGACATATCCATTTTTTAAAGTAAGACACCTCAAAATTTAAACAATAATAATAATAATAATAAATGAACTTTATTGCAAAAAAAAGTTAGTACAATTTCTTACAAATGGCCATTGACCGAGGTCCTTCAGCCGGTGAACATATCCTGAATATATGTAACAAAAAAAAAAAAAAAAAAAAAACAGTATATAATCGTGAAATTGAAATTAATTAATTAGTATGTTATCTCGTGTTTGTTTAAGATGTTCCCATATGGTCTTCTCTGGGTGCTTGAACTTCCTGTTGCCCTGTACCTCCAAACACAACTCGCTCAGAATGTTGTAGTTAGCGTCCTTGCTAATAAAGTTTGTAGATAATTTGGTAAATCTTTCCATAATTGGTAAGATATTGTAGGTAGCATACAAAAGGTCGTTGGGAGGGTTGTGTAGAGAATTGGTTGGATGTCTCATTTTGGAGATTTTTCGGAGTGATGAGGTTTCCCCGGTTTTAATTTTGCTTAAGGCTGGTTTCCGGGCATTATTAAGTAAGATGCATCCATATTCCAGGATTGGTCTGCATATTAAGGTGTATATTCTTTTTTTTGTTTCATCATTGATGCCTTTTTTGTTGTATGTAAGTCCTCTAAAGTGGCTGGCCCTTGTTAGTGTTTTCTTCTTTGACAGGGAAGAGTGAAGATTAAAGTTTACTTTATTATCCAGTGTGATTCCCAAGTATTTTACGTTAGATTTTGGCTCTATTATGTCATTGTACATCTTAATTGTTATATTAGGGTTAATCTTGTTTTGGTGGAAGTGTATTAGTTGAGACTTTAGTGGATTTGGTTTTAGTCTCCATTTGTTAAACCATGCCAAGATTTGATTTGACAGAACTTGGAGTTGGTCAGAAGCAGTTTTTTGATTTTTACTATGGCAAATTATCGCGGTGTCATCTGCGTATTGAAGTACATATTTATCTTGGTCAAAGAGCATGGGATCTTCATTGTAGATGTCGGCACAATAAAGGTTATAGAGCAGAGGGGAGAGAGGGGAACCCTGGGGCAGTCCTTGTTTGGCTATGAAGTTTCTTGAGGTTTTATTGTTTATTGATACCTGCAGACTCCGGTTATCTAAAAATTTCATAAGTATTTTTAGGATGTTGTTTGGGCAATTTAGCTGGTGCAGTTTGTATAATAACCCTTTATGCCAGACGCTATCAAATGCCTTGCTGATGTCTAGGAACAGTGCCGTGGTTTTTCTTCCCATCAAATGTGAAGTTTGTATATTATTAATAAGTATTGTCAGAGGATGAATGGTTGACTTATTCTTCTGGAACCCAAACTGATAGCGAGGAATCGTGTGTCCTATTGCTTCTGTAATTCTGTTGCATAAAATGTTTTCGAAATTTTTGGCCAAGTTTGTCAGGAGAGTTATAGGTCTGTAGTTTTTTACTTGGGATTTATCGGTGTTGGGTTTTGGAATGTTTATAATAATGCCAGTTTTCCACTTTTCTGGAAAATATTGGTTGTTTAAGCAATAATTATATATTCTCAGAATTTCCAAGTGTGTTTCGTAGTCTAGTTGTCTTAGTAGTTTCTTGGTAATCCAGTCGTAGCCTGGAGCTGTGTTTTTTCCTTTATAAAGGATATTAAAATATTCCTCCTCTGTAACGCTTTCAGCTGTCAAAGGAAGGTCTTCTTCTTTGAAGTTGGCATACCATTGCGAGACCTCATTATAGTGGGCTACACAGAAATTTGCATCAGTACTTTCTTTATAGGTCTGCAAAGAGTTCAAGTTTTTCGTTAGTTGTTTCGTATGTTCTGCCGTTGTCCACCAGGGGTGTATTAAACTGGTTCGAAGTGCCCTTATACTTAGTTAGTTTACTAATTTCTTTCCAGTAAGTTCTTCCATAGTTTTCTTGGATTTTTTCACAAGCTTCTATCCATTTATGTTGTCGGTATTGATGAATTAATTTTTGAATGTTCTTGTTAAAAGTATTTATTTCTGTTTTTAATAGCGGATCTCCCAGATTTTTGTATTCTCTATAAAGTTTTCGTTTCCTTTTTATTAATTTTAGGATAAAGGGTGGTAATTTTTGGGTGTAAAATTTGATTTCTTTTTTGGGAGTATTTTCCTTAACTGCATTTTTTAGAGTTTCAAGAAAGTTGTCTATGTGGAGCCTGTCCATATTTGGTTTGGATGTTAAAAAGTTGGCCATATTACTGTTGACAATTTCTATATTGGTTTTATCAAATAGCCATATTTCGGGGGTGTGGTAAGGATGTTGTGTAATGTTGTTTATTTCTATAAGAAATCCCAGATGGTCAGAACACAGATCAGGAACAAGGCTTATTTTGTCAATGTTATTTTTTAAATTTTCAGAATAGAGGATGATATCTGGTGTACTATCAGTATTATTGGCCATGAGAAAGGTGGGGGCTGTAGAGTGTTGTACAAAGTTGGTATTATTTGTAAATGTTGATAATTGTTTCTTTTTTTGTCTGTTTACGTTAAAATCTCCAACAATCAAGGAGTATTTGTACAGGGAAGCTTTTGTAAAAATAGTTTCCTCTATTCTGGAATGAGGGTGTATATATACTAAAAAGACATGCAGATGATCATTGAAGTATGGAAGAGTAAAATGTATTACCTCATTCAAAGGGTTGTTTATTCTTGGGGCATTTGCCTTGCCTAATTTTATGGATGGATGCATTTGTACAAGACTCCCTCCTCGTGTTTTGTTGTGTATTTTTTTCCCTTTTGTAATACTTGGTTCCAGTCCCTATATTGGGTACTGAGGTTCTGGGAGATCTTAGCTTCTACAAACATTGTACACTGGATATTGTTTTGTTGTATGTAGTTATCAATATTAAGTTTTCGTTTTGAGTAGCTGTTTATATTATTGTATAGAATTTTAACTGACATATTGAGTTATATTTTCCTCCGTGGATGGTTTTGTGGGGGATTCGGAGTTGGGTTTTTCCAGGTCAAACATTAGGATATACATTCGGGTTCCAGAAAATACTGCCTGGGTGTCAATCTTGAAGTTATTTACAAACATTTTCCTTAGTTTTTGAATAAGTTCCTCCCTTTTTTCCTCATTGTTTTTTTCATCGTTTAGAGTGTTGATGTATGTGTTTATTATGTGATCGTGGATGGTAATTGAAGAGTGAATCCTTGATTTTTTAATTTCCTCTGGTAGTTCTCTAGATTTTTGGTTAATTGGTTTAATTGGCATGTTAGGAATACCTGGTATAGGAGTTGTTGGTCGCTTGGGGCATTTAAATGACCATGCTTGATGATCAATAGCATTACAGGCAGTACATTTAGGTTCAAGATTTGTAGTGCATTTGTTAGTTGCGTGGTCTCCAGAGCATTTGTTGCAGGTTGTTTTTTCTTGGCAATTTTCAGTAGTATGGTTAAATGAGTTGCATTTGATGCAAGGTTTGGGAGCAGCTGGGGGTGGGGTGCTAGGATAGACTGGGTAGTGACAGCTCTTGTAGAAAAATCCATCTTGAAGCAGGGATTTAAATGTTATTTCACTAGCTGTTATTATTCTTATAAGTGTGGTGGGTTTGTTGGTGGCTTTTGAAATAATTCTTTTGCAATATCGATGTGGTTTTTCTTCTTCTTTGAGATGATTGCTGATGTCAATGTCACTTATTTCTGTCTCTACTCTGCTTATAACTACAGAAAACGACGGGGCGCTGATCTGCCTAGATGGACTTGTGTTCGGTGCAGTTTCCTTAAAATCTTTAATTATTGAGTGTGTCTTCAGGTTTTCCAACGATTTTACTATAATTTTCTTATCGGTGTCTGTTTTGAGGAGAAATCCATGTTTTGTTTTGATTATGACGTCTTTCGTTTTAGGGAATTCGATTTCCCATGTATCAGCCATGAATAACCGAGTCGTATCAATGTTGGTAGGACTGATAAAGTACATAAGTTTAAATTTTTTGTGCAAAATAGCATTCATGTTGTCACTGTAGTTTATGTTTTTTTGTGGATGTTGGTTTTTGTTTTGATTGGAATTGTGTGCAGTGTTGTTGTTTTTTGTGGGTTCGTTTTTGTTATTTCCGAGGTCTTTCGTCACGCGTTTTTTATGAGGTTGAAGTTTTGGTTCTCCATTATTATCGAATCCTATTAATTCAATATCGGGGCTATCAGGATCTCTACCTCGTTTGTGTCTATCCTTAACAGGTTCGAACGTCCCCCCATCACCATTATCTTCATTTTCATCCATTTTTTAAAACAAAAAGCACTATATAAACTTGGTAATATTGCGAGCGATGTGCACCTTGCCGCTTCAATATACACTGTGAATTTAAACATTAATTTGCAAAAACAATTTGATAGCTTTTGAAAACCGTGTATGACATGTCAAAGTATGGGATGATTCTCCATAGCCTATGGATGGACCATAGCAACCTTAGTTCTTCATAAAGGAAAAATATTGGAAATTGCAATGTTTTTTTTTTAAATCCATATTTGCCACAAAAATAAATATATCGAGGTGAACCAAAAACAAAACTGTTAAGAATAGATGTGACTTCATAAATAAAAGTTAATTTAGAACAATATACGGTTTTGCCACTCTACAGAGTGTCTTAAACTTATGGTAAAAAACATCTTTTTGTTTAAACCTGTATATTATAAATGTACGTCAATTTTTTAGTAATTTTTTAAAATGTGAGCGATTGTCTATTAATTTATCTACAATATTCTTTAATATTCGTTTAAATCCGACATCAAATAAAAAAGTTATTTGCGATTGAAATTCATCGAAAATTTGTGTGGATCGATTATTTTGCCTGTGAGTGTATTACACTTTCGCATAGGCATACACTATGCACGGGTGTTTTAAACTACACTAGTTTACAGCCATTTTGCCCACCATGCCTCACTATTATTTTCTTGTGTAGTTTGGCCAACTAAACGCGAAAATCACACTTAATTTTTTTTTCATGGAAGCGTTTTCGAGATAAGAATTTTCAATTGTTTTTTTTTAATTTTCTGACGTTTTAGAGTATACTTCGAGTTCTAATTAATCGATTTAACCAAACAAGCACTTAAATCAAAGGTAATTAAGCCCTCTACAACTGTCTCTTGTGTAGTTTTGGTATCAGCTCAGTAGTTCGATACTGGCGATTTTATGAAGTTAAAAAAGTCCTTTTTTTACAAAAATCGTGGTGGAAAATTTACATATCTTTCTGGGAAAGATAGAAATCGAAAAGATGAGTCCAGTTTGATTTATTTTACGCATAGATTATACTTAAGCTACTTATAAGCTGCTGTTGATAAAAATCCATGGATAAATGTCGAAGTTATGAATTTTTCAGTCGAAGACCAAAATTCAGTTTTTCGGGAATTTTTACGATTTTTCTTCATTTTATTGAATTATATAAAATTTAATATTGAAATTAAATTATATATTGAATATTAAACAATAAATATTGAACATTGAGGTTATTGAAAGTTTTATTTTGTTGTAATAGGCATAGGTTAAAAAAAAATCTGGCTCCTTATTTGTTTTTTGTTGCTTTCGTATTCCATTTCTCGTACGAGGGACCAAATGTAATCACCCATCATGGCTGCATCCCAGAAGCCGTGATACCGCCGCTCCATAGCCTTCATTTGCTGGTGAAAACGTTCTCCGTGCTAATCACTTACGTCGCCCAGATTGTCCGGGTTATTTACGCACTCGAACTCTCTACTTCTTTTACTTATTTTACACTTTTTATTAACTAAATAAAACCATGATAAAAATACCTTCTTGAAATATCAAAAATAGCAGTAAAATGTCACTATGCCAACACGAGAAACAAAAGAATTCACGTTTGCGGAGTCTTGTTAAATTTAAATTTTGAATAATGTTTTCGGTGAAAAAAGTACGTAAAAAACTCAAAAAATTCCAATCATGCACTTTAATTAGGTTTTCATTAAAGAATAAACATATTACAAAATAAAAGAAAAAAATAATATAAAAATCGTCAAAAAGCTGAATTTTGGTCTTCCACTAAAAAATTCATAACTTCGCCATTTTCCATGTATTTTTATCAACATAAAATTAAAATGGAGTTATCTGATGGATTTAAACCTTTCCCAGGACGATATGTAAATTTTCGACCTCAATTTTTGCCATAAACACAATTTTTTTAAGTTATTAAAATCGCTAGCGTCAAAATACTTAACCGATATCAAAAGTATGTAAAAGAAAGTTTTAGAGAGCTCAAATACCTTCAATTTAAGGGCTTGTTTGACCAATCGATCAATTAGATTTCAAACTATACTAAAAAACGTCAAAACACCCCCAAAAACTGAAAAAACAAATATTGAAAATTCATATTTCAAAAACGCTTCCATAAAAAAAAAATTGAGTGTGATTTTCGTGTTTAGTGGGTCAAAATACATGGAAAAAATTATAATGGGATATGGTGGGCAGATTTTTTTTTCGATTTTGTAAACTAGTGTTATTCTCAAGCCACGCACGGGTGTTTAATACCAGGTTATTTATTAACTTTGTGTTATATTTGTTTGACTTAATAACTATTTAAAATATGCCGGGGTGTGTTGTAGCAGACATTAAATATTTTCGATTTCCAAAAAATAAAGATCTGGCAGCACCCCTAGTAGCAATTCCGGAAAAGTCTTGGCCCAGCATGGGTCAAGATACTTTGGACAGATTTTTTCTCAAGAATTGTACAAGAATTGTTCCAGATTCTTGGCCAAGATTATTGGGCAAGACTTGAGCCAGACTGTGGCCAGAATTTGACAAGAATTTGATCAGAAATCTGAGGCCATCTATTGCTAAACTTTGGGACTATCCTATAGAGTAGAGGTTCTCATTCTACAATATCATTCACAATAATGTATACTAGTCGAGAAGTGAGTTCTCTGTAGAAAATGAGTATAGTTTTTTGTTTATGTGAAAATACGAATAAGAGCTTATTGGATTCGTCTTCTAGCTGAGAAAAAAATTGATTTTTTGAAAAATAAAAATTGTTATTTCTAAAAATCAAAAATTAAAAAAAAAGTGTGCGTCAGCTCTGACGCATAACTAGAGTTTACTCTTTATGAACATGAAAGATTATAAAATACATGTTTATTTTTACGGGCACCTGGTTTTTTTTTAACATAGAAAATTAAAAACTTTAACTCTTTCAAAATTTGTTTCGTTTTTAATTCTATTGTTTACCAGATTTATGGATAAAACCCGAATTTACTGGAAAGAAATCGTGGAAAATTAATGTTTTTAGTAACATTCTTAACTTTTGAATTTCAACAAAATTTTGTATTGACCAAAAATCTTGAATTGAATGTTTCTATTTAACGTGTAATCGTGTAAAAATTCTTGGCCAAGAATCTGGTCAAATTCTGGTCACAGACTTGTCCAAGTCTGCCACCAGTCTGGATAAAGAATTTTGATCAAGAGTCTTGGTCAAGAATTGTCCAATTCTTTACAAAGTGCTTCTTCTCCAAGTATCTTGACAAAGAATCTTGTCCTATTCCATTGCTACTAGGGACAGTGGATGAATGCATGCAAGAGAAAGGATAAAATGAAAATAAAAAACGGTAAGTAAAGGCAATTTTTGGTATACCCAATTTTGTGTTAGGTACTTACAGTAATTTTTCACCCTAACCACATATTTTTTTACAGCTTGCATAAGTTCTTACTAGTAATAAAAATTTAATACAATTGTATCAAAAGTTTCACAAGTAAAAAAAGCAGTTTTGAGATTTTTTTTTACTTTTGACACTTTAAAGCGGACGTGCGTTATTATGTAATAAAAAATATTTTGAAAAAACTAATAGGAAGGTAGGAAATTAATTGTTGCTTAAATAAAATGTTATAATCTTTTTGGAAATTTTTTGATATTTTAGCATTTGAAATAAAATATGGTTTTGACAAAATTTGTTTGTGTAATAATTGGCAAATGAAAATGTTTAAAAGAATGAATACTTACTTTTTTTTTAAGGAAAGTCCCTTAGGAAAATGACACACAATGTGCATTTCTGAGTGCACTTACTGGCCTTTTTGGCACACCTTTAGTTTTACAAAATATGCATAAAAATAAAATTAATTTTCTAATATTTTTTGAGAATACAACTCTAAAATTGCTGGATAAACTAAAGGGGACTCTAAGAAATACAGCATTAGAGCTGTAAAATAAAATAATTGATTAGAGGTTTTGAATTTTTAACTTATAATAATAATTATTGGAAATCAAAAAACGCCAAAATTGTACAATATACAAATTTATAACCATAAAAATTAATACATAATATTCTTACCTTCCAATGGTGTCAGCTAATTCTTGATCCTCAGAAGATATATCATTGAATTCAGAATTGGGGCTTATATCTGAATTGGGTTGGTAATTGATTAATTTTCTTAAAGCAATAGTCGCAGCCGCATTTTTCGCTAGCTTTTTGCTGGCACCTAAAAAATAGTTACCTAGGTGTTAAGGGGCCTCTTAAACCACACAAAACCCAACAACATGCAAAAGACAAATACATTTTTTTAGTTAAGATTTTTTTTATTAAAGAGGTTATAAAGTGGACATTTGGTTTCAATGACATTCTTGGCCGTTATCAATACCCAACATATAAATTTAACAGTTAACCCAAGTTACTTTAAAAAGGACAACTTTGGTGATATGGTAAACAAATTAGAAATTTTCCCCAACACAAAACACAAACACAAAGTGCTTAAAGTACTTTTCGCCAACGATGTAGGCATCTTCAGAAGCGAAGTGTAACTAAATCTACCATGTTTATATTAATTATAAGCTAAGGTTGACTGACGGACACAGTTTACTAAACCGTGGAACACGTAAAGAGAAACTAACAAACTAATTTATACAAACTAGAGTTGGGTACCGGTAAGATTTATTTCTATTCTTATGAATGTATAAACTTTCATAACTATCTAGCAGACTTGGTTCCCTAAGTTTAAGGTTGTCAAATACTTTTCTATGACCATCATCAAGTATATGTTGGGCAATACTCGATTTCTCTGTCCTACCAAATCTAGCATGGGCCATGTGCTCCTTGATTGGATGGATTGTTTAGATTGTCCAACATATTTCTTGTCACAATCTTGACAGTTTATTTCGCAGATCCCCGACTTTTCAATTTTAGGAATCTTATCTTTGAAGTTGCCTTAAAGGGTCTGAAGTGTATAAATGCTTGAACTAAAAGCGATTTTGAAGTCAAATAGAACACCCTTTTTAAATTCTATTTTGAGTAAAATTACTGCACCATACCTAAAGTGAATAGTTTTTTTCGTTAAAATTTCACAAATGCGCTTCAATCAAAAATAGCCTATAACTTTTTTGCTATTAGGTTTGCGGAAATGGAGGTGGAATTTTTGGAATCTTAAAACATTGTTTAAAAGATTCCATGTCAATTCTTTAACATTTTTTAACAAATTACCCAAAAAAACCCAGGACAAATTAGGCTTATTAATTGAAACGTTAATAACTTTTATTTTAAATGAAACACCCTGTATGTTTTTACATAATCAAATAGAAAATTAAAAAACTTTTCGATTGATTTAATTATTCCTCATAAATAAATTTAATAATTTTAGGGATATTTCACATTTTTTAATATTAGACCCGGAATAGTAGAAGTAAGAATTAAGAAATGCTTAAATGTAAATGGAGGACAATAAATTAGTAATTATTATTGTGTATTACTTTTAAATTTTAAAAACGTTGGATTGTCCATGTTTTTTAAAATTCACTAACTGCTTTTTTGTCAGTAATTTTGTCAACAAATTGTTTATTACAACCTGAAAAATTGACGATATTAAATTTTGACAGATTACGTGGTAACCACAGTTACCGTCAACTCACCCATCACAGGTTTCTTGATACAAAATATTATTTAAAATTTTAGAAATTGTTATCTCTTTAATTTGTTATTTGATTGGGTAAAAAAATACCGGGTGTTACATTTAAAATAAAAAAGTTATTAACGTTTCAAGTTAGCCCAATTTGCCCTGGGTTTTCTCGGGTAAATTGTGGAAAAATGTTAATGAATTGACATGGAATCTTTTAAACAATGTTTTAAGAATCCAAACATTTCACCCCCATATCCGTAATCATAATAGCAAACCAGTTACAGGCTATTTTTGATTGACGCAAATTTTAACGAAAAAAATTAATAACTCGAAAACTCGACCACGAATGTGAAACACCCTGTATATCAAGTGGTGTTTTTTAGGTTGTGATACCACTATACACTCTAATGCAATGCATAATCGTCAAACTAAAAGTTCAAGATTTGTTTTCTACACATATTTAATATAAGATAAATACAAATCTTGTGTTTTATTAAAAAAATTCATATCAGAAATATTTTTTTTTTCTTAAAATAAATAAACTTATTATTTTCTTTAAGTATAATTTTTGTATTATCAAAATTTACTATCGAATTAAAGGTATAAAGTAGCCTTTATCTACTTTATCGCTCAAGCAAGTGCATCTATTAATTATTGACATTTAAAATTTAAACTTTAAATTGTATTTTTACTTGAAAGTGATTTTAAGAACCAAAAATGAAAAAAGAGCAGGAAATAGAAGTGGTAATGGAAGTAGCAGAGAAAGAGAAAGGAGACGAACATTTATGTCGTCGTTGTAAATTTGTTGCAGTACTTTTACGCCCAAGAAAAACCAACGCTATATTTCATTACACAATTTTATGAGATAAACTTACTACTTTAATTTTTGAAGGAATATTAGATGGACCTGATTTATGACCTTTAATGAAAGATCAAGCATTCAAAAATGCTCTCAAAGCTGACGAGCTTGTCGCATATGGCAGTGTTTGAGCTGTCATTGAAAATGTTCTTGGTTCATATCGGGCCTTAAATTGGCGCCAATTGGTTGAAAAAATGCTTGTCGTTTTGCGAAGAATTAGCGTTAATATGTCATTTAAAAAACATTTTCTTTTTTTTTCTTCCTGATAAATTTGCCGAACTGATGAACATGGAGAACGATTTCACCAAGTAATTGCAAATCTAGAGCATTGGTAGATATCTATGGGTATAGCGGAAAGAAGTTGGATTCATTGCTAGGAGACATTTGCTGGAATTTGCAGCAAACGATATAATTTTTGTATTACGTATAACAAAATGTATAGGTTAATATTTCGTGAAACGGTGAGACACGGGTACGTTTTTTGACCGTTTATATTTAAAATCTGTTAACTTTTTTCATGGGAGGAAAATCGCGTTGAACTGTGTAATTAGTATAAACATGGTAGATTTAGCGTGTAGATTTAATTACACCTCGCTTCTGAAAAGTACTTTATCACTTTGCGTTTCGCTTTGGCGTCGGTGAATATTCCCAACACTCGTTCAGTCAACCCAAGGATTTTCGATGAGTACTCACCACAACCGAAATAGTGTTGCTCGTTAACGATCAAATCGACCTTGAACCGAGAAAACTGACTGAACCCGTCGTACGTGACGGAGAACTGGCTGCTCGGGTACATCTCGTACAGGAGCATCAGCGGCCTTTTCACGCACCCGTTCTTGGTGAGCGCGCGGTTGCCGAGCGCGCCGAGCCGCGCGGCAACCTTGTGCTCGTGTTCCGGCAGCTGCGCCATGTGAAGCAAGGCCGCCTGCGCCGCGTTCGCTTTGGCCAATCGCTTCGTTCCGCCTGTACCCACGTGCTTAACCCCGCCCACCGCAACTGATATGAAGAACTCGGGCCTGTGCTGAGGCCCTGACACGGCCTCCTCTACAAACTCCAAATCCGTGCATAGCTCGTTCAGTACGGAGACTGGATTGAAGGAGGGTTCGGCTTTGGAGTCTTCGCTGTCGCTGCTCGATGCCGAGTTTTCGTTGAAATTGTTGTTCAGCTTGAACAGTTCTATAAACTCATTCAAAGCCGACTTTGCCGCCTTGACTTTGGCGCTTTTGAGAGACGGCCCTGTGCCGGTGTAAACCCTCTCGCCTACTTGGACCGCCAGGGTAAATTGCGGCGCGTGCGGTGGGCCCTCTTTCTCTACCAACTCGTACTTGATTCCCGGGTGTATTTCATTCAGCGCCGCCACCGGATTCACGATGCACTTCCCGTCGACGAAAAACTTCTGCCAGGATTTTCTTCGATTTTTTTCGCTATTTTCAGCGCTCGTTTCATTTTCGACTTTCAGTGCTTCGACGACTTTACTTGCCCCATTCAATTTCGCCGCCTTTTTCGTCAGGCCCGTCCCCAAGTACCTTTTGCCGTCCATTTCGACCGACACCGTGTACAAAGGGGCGTGCGCGGCTCCTTCTTTGCTAACTAATTCGTACTTAACGTCCCGATTTAAATTATTTAACACTGAAATTGGATTTTTTGCCGTCGTGTTCAACTTAAGTTCTTTATTTGTCTTAACTGTGCCATTATCTAACAAAAACAAAACAAACGTTGAAAAAGATAAACTCGCTTCTCGTACAAGCAAATCTATGAATCAGAAATATTAAACATAGATGTAGAAGTCAAGATTAAGATTTAATGAAATAAGATTTGACTTCGGAAAATTGTTTCTATGGACACTAGTAATAATGTCTTAGTCGCAAGCATATTATTATTCTAAGTCGAATAATCTTTTTGTTTTTTGATCAAACGCGCCATTAATAAGTTACACTATGATAGTTCGATTTACTCACAATCCACACAACAAGAGGTGCTTTCCTTTCATTTTTGAAGTGAGCCAAGCAAAAGTGAGATAAGCGAGGCCACTTACGCGCACTCATCTTACCTAAAATAGACCAAAGGAACGGTTGGTAAACCTATTTTCTCTAAAAGTGACACTTGACAGTTTAACCCTTAAGCCTGAATTATAGATTGCCTTCCTTCCTTCCTCCCGTAGTCGTGCCCGTACGGTACGGGAATCTATAACTGGCAATACGATTTAAATAAACATTTTTGACGTAATTGTCACCATTAACATTGCCCGTTATTAATTTTAATTAAACTTAACAATTATTGATAATTTAAAATATTAAAATTACTTAAAAATATGATTTTGTTAAGAAAATATTTTATTCTTTGATTTTTTTTATTACTATATAACAAAATTTTATCACAAAGTATTAAAAATACCTAAACGGGAAATGTTAATGGTGACAATTACGTAATGTTCATCTTCTACGGGAGGAAGGAATGTTCTGTGGTTTAACCATTTCCCTCAACGGTTTAACGCAAAGATTAAAGACTTAACGAACAAAATGTCGAATCAAATAATACAGGTAGTTAAAAATATAAATCCAATTTAAACAATAATAAATACCTTTTTGTTTTATTCTTTAATTTTATAGAATGTAGTGAATGTAATATTCAGCAGCGATTCTGAAAATACTAGTTTAATCGTATCGTATCATCGTAATCGTAAATTACTATTTAAATAGTCATACCTACAATTGTAGGTATTCTAGTCGCCGAATGAATCATTCAATTTGAAATCCGAATGAAAATATGCGATTAATAATCGCGGATTACTTAATTCGAAAATAAACGGCGATTATTAATCGCATACTTTCATTCGAATTATCAATTCGATTAAATTATTCCGATATTGAAATCCGAATGAAAGTATGCGATTTATAATCGCCGATTATTTAATCGAATTATCATCCGATTATTGAAATAATCGTATCGGATATTATCGGTTATTGATATAATCCGATTATGCCCATCACTAATATTGTTTTAATTTTCTTCTGTTTTGTTTGATAGAAAGTGTACAACCTCACTCAAGTAATCAAAATCAAAATTTCTCATTTGTAAGTGTGCTCCGGAGGTTGTGCTTGATCGGTAAGGGGGGAGGTAAAATTCTCACTTTGGCTTACCTGTCATTTTGCAAATGGAACGGTCTCTAAAGTGAGATAAACCAAGGTGAGGTAAGAATATCTAAGAATCGTGGCAAAAGGAAAGCTCATGCTAAAAATACTAAAAATCACTGCAACACTGCACAGAGTTTAACGGCGGCCATTTTTGTTGTTTACAATTCTTGTGCTTTGGGTTTGTGCTGTTTAATAATTGTTTTAAACTTTGTGTTTCTTACAAAGGCACTTGCAAGCCTCAAATAAGGCCTTTAAGTGCTAAGGACAACCATTTTACTCCTCTTTTATAATAAATATACCTTATTCTATCAGGGCTGTCAAATGACAATTTGAAGGTTAATTTCTGGGTTATAATTTAACCTTAAAATTGACATTTGACAGTTTTATGACACCCCTGATAGAATAAAGATTATTTTTTACAATAGAGGAGTAAAATGGTTGTTCTTAGCACTTTAAGGACTCTTTTAAGGCTTACTATGAGAAACACAACGTTTAAAACGATTATTAATCTGTATAAACAGAGCACAAACCCAAAGCACAAAAATTGTAAACAACAAAAATGGCCGCCGTTAAACTGTTGTTGCAGTGATTTTTTGTATTTTTAGTATGAGATAGAAGTTCTATCATAGAACCGAATCTAGGAAATAATACCCCTGGAAAAAAAACCACGGAAAAAAAACCCCCGGAAAAAGAACCCCCTGAAAAAAAAACCCCTAGGAAAAAAAACCCAAGGAAAAAAAGCCAAAAAATAAATCCCGGTTTGACGAGTGTCACATAAAAAATGCAAAAATTGTAAAAATATCGCAAAAATGAGCGAAACCAACCCAAATCAACCCAAACTCAACAACACAACCCTACCGACCCCGCCCCATTGGCCCCCCCCGCCCCATTGAGTAAAAATCCCCGAAATTGGCAAAAATAAAAAAAAATTGCAAAAATCAATGCCCAAAAATGCTAAAAATTGTAAAAAAAATTGTAAAAAAATTCTAAAAAAGTTAAAAAAATATATAAAAAAATTGTTAAAAAATTCCGAAAAAAATTGTAAGGGGGTATTTTTTCCTGTAGGTTTATTTTCCTAGGGGTTTTTTTTTCCGGGGGTTTTTTTCCGGGGGTTTTTTTTCCATGGTTTTTTTTCCAGGGGCTTTTTTTCCGTTTACCCATAGAACCACAGACCACCAAAACAAATGGACGGATTTGTTTACGTTTAAAAAGCGAGTAAAGCATAGTTTCACATTCTAAACACCGTCGAAAGAAACACGGCTTCCAACGTTGTCAGAAGTATAGATTACACGCCTTTTTGGACGTTCATCATAACATAATAAACATTAATAATTACCAGTAATTCGTTTGAATAATAAAAAAATTGTAAAAAGGATTTGTTCATCATTTTCTTTAGATATTTTTCTCTATTTAAAGAAAGTAAATCATTTAATAATTATTAAAATTAAATATTAACAACGTTAGTAAATTCGTCATATTTGACAGCATAGAAAAAGGTTGACAGCTTGTTGTTTTGTGTTTTCGTTTGTGTATTTCTATCGTGTTTAAGTTAATTATGGAGTTTAAATACATTATTTTTTACTAAAAATGACAATACATGGAAATATCGTTTGTAAGAACCTACCTACTTATTATTTTTTTAATCCCAATACGTCACTGAAAGAAAACATAAAATTCTATCGCCAATTGGACGCTTAGATTGTGACCGTTTGTTGACCGCAAACAAAGCATTGTTCATAGAGTTTTTCTATGGCATTGTTATTGAATGACAATGCGCCGTCCATTTGTTTTGGTGGTCTGTGGCTAAAACACACCTGTGATTGGATACTATATTTTAAAAAAAAAATGAAAAACGGCAAGGACTATTCGATTTATCCTCTTTCACGTCATTCAATCAAATAAAAAAAAATCAATTAAAAAAGAGGTTTCAAAATTTAAAAATTGATTTTTAATTATTTTTTGTTATGTATCAAAATAAATTTAAATGAAAAATAATCCATTTAAAGTCATGCAATCTATTTTCATAGATTTTGGAGGACTTTTGAGACATTATTACTAGTGCTTACATGTTTTTCAAAGTAAAGCCCTTATTTAACGTCTTTGTATTTAAAAATATGTTGTTGCTTTATAACCTCTTTATAGAAAATGCAAACTTTATACAACTACCATTACCTAAGTTTATATACAAAAAATATTTGCAAACATTATTATTAATAAAATCAAAAATAATAATAATAATAGTTTAACAAATAATGACCAATCGCCGTTAAAAATACATCAAGTATTACTTAATAAGTAATAAGGGTTAATTTATTTTTGCTTAACACAAAAAACGAAATATTTTCAACAAAAACTCATCAAAAACAATTAATTGGTGAAACTATGTTTGTTATAATCATGAATTTCTTCCTATTTTTGTCTTCAGTCATCAGTCTTTTTTTATTTTTTATAATCATCAAAAATTCAATTTGAAAAAAAATCTGCTGCTTGTTTAAAACAATACTATTAACTAGGTGTTAAGTTTAAAAAAACCACTGTAATAATTACTCACAAAACATTGATTTTGTTTAAAAATACGTATCATCAAACGACTGACTTTTTATTAACGTTTAAAAATTAAAAATTTAAACTGTTAATACAAATAATTTGGTGTTGGCAAATATAAGAAAAAAGTGGTTATAATCTATGTATACCTACATATTTAAAGTAGTTTAAAGTTGATTTAAAAAAACTCTTAAAACTGACTTACCAGTTCCAGTGTATTTCTCATTATCAATGGAAATAACAGCTTTAAACCTTGCATATGGATCTCCATCATTACTAGCAATATCCAATTTGCTGTTGGGATACAACTCGTGCAAATACATAACAGGGGCTTTAAGTACCCCCTTCTTTGGCACATTTGGTGCGTTAGATTTCACTTTCTTGGTTTCAAAAGTATCTGCAGTAAAATCCCCCGAACTAATGATCTGGTGGGTTGTAATAATTTTCCCGTTATTCGGAAACTGAATGAAGGATTTTAGGGCCTCTTCGGCCGCCTTGGCTTTGGCGATTTTTTTCGAACCACCTGTGCCAAAATACGTGTGTCCGTCCACTTCGACAGATACTTTGAATATCGGTGCGTGAGAAGGTCCAACCTGTTCCAACACATTGTATTTTAAGCCTAGTCGTAGCTCATTTAAAACTGATATTGGGTTTTTGTCGTTTATGCTAACTTCCACCACTTTCTTCTTATTGGGGGTTACGTTATTTTCTGCAAAATAATACAAGCATTATTATGCGGAACATAGAAATATTATTTCTATGATGCGGAACAATCAATTTTTAAAAACTTACCTTCTATGTTTCGTTTTTTTGCAGGTTCGCTTTCTATGTCTTGCATTTTGACTGGTTGAACCTCGAAACACGTAACTAAATCGTAATCGCTCAACTGATTTTATCTTATTAATGTAATAAAAAAGAAATATTAAACACGAACTTGCATTCTCAAACAACGAAAACCGAACGCAACTGTCAAATTTAACTAAAACAAAAAAGGGTTGCCAACTGTAACAATTTGGTGATGTTTTTCTTCTTTTTAGGTCAAATACCAGGGAACAGCTCGTTGCATCGAAACTCAATAGATCGAATCTCGCCAGATCGAAAATTTACATGACCTTCGAAGCTCACCAGATCGAAAATGTGTGGCATCGTCGCACTTTAAACATCAAATTGGTAAGGTTTGGTTCACATTTTTCATTAGGAAAAAGCGATTTTTCTTAAATGCAAACAAAGTTCGATCTGGGATGCCTGTAGATGTATATACAGTATAGTAGTTTAAGCAACAAGTTGTACTAATTCTTGGATTTGCTTCCACTTCGTCCAAAATTTGTTCTTCAAGGGCCACAAATTCACGTCCCTGAGCCCGACCCCTATCACCAAGAAATGCGCTAAATCTTCCGCGCTCCCTTAAATTTTGCTTCCCCGTAACACAAAACCATATTTGTTAATTGAATATTTGTGAGCGCCCGACCCGCCATAGCATAAAATCTTTAACACTAATTACTTATTATTATTACTAATAAAATACAAATTTTCAAACTTTCAAAATATTTATAAAAGAATAAAAACCTGAAAAACTTGAAAAAAAATAAAAACCTGAAATCGCTAGATCACTAATTAGACCTTGTAAAAATTTGTAAACTAATGATTTTTTAAAAATTGTTTTAAAATTGTGATTTAAAAACATACTTATAAAATAGTATATTATGTATCAAGTTTTATAAACGCCATTTTAGTTACGAGTTTAATTAAGCACGAGCGAAGCTTGCGAGCGAGTGTTTAATAAAAACGAGTGTCTAGAGAAGTTTATAAACGAGTTGCATACTATACTTTATCTACGACGAACACAAAACAGAATTTAAAGCCAATTTTATTTGTTAAAATTTTGACATCTGTCAACTGTCACCAGGGTTGGGTATCTACCTACATTTTTGTTTTCGACATGTAGAAAACCTTTTTCGACGTTTTCGACGGTAGAAAACGTAAAAAAGTAGAATACTGTCAAATATCAAAAGATGTGAGGTTATGCAAGTTTGTTGTTTATTATGATTTGTTAAATGTTGTGAAAAATCAGACACCTACCATAAATTTGAAGTTATTTGGAGTTTTTTAACATTATTATGGTGGGAAAAAAAGGGCCGCGTTTGGTTGGGAGACCCCAACATAATTTTTGGCATGAGGGCAAATTTTTATCAATTATAGAGAAGTGGAAGGAGAAGGTCGAATAAGGTAATTTACGTAGGTAGAAAACCCTATAGGTTTTCGACGCAAGTCGAAAACAAGTTTTCTACCCTTTTCTACCAAGGTAAATTACCTAAGGTTTTCTACTGACCCAACCCTGACTGTCACCAGGGTTGGGTATCTACCTACATTTTTGTTTTCGACATGTAGAAAACCTTTTTCGACGTTTTCGACGGTAGAAAACGTAAAAAAGTAGAATACTGTCAAATATCAAAAAATGTGAGGTTATGCAAGTTTGTTTATTATGATTTGTTAAATGTTGTGAAAAATCAGACACCTACCATAAATTTGAAGTTATTTGGAGTTTTTTAACATTATTATGGTGGGAAAAAAAGGGCCACGTTTGGTTGGGAGACCCCAACATAATTTTTGGCATGAGGGCAAATTTTTATCAATTATAGAGAAGTGGAAGGAGAAGGTCGAATAAGGTAATTTACGTAGGTAGAAATCCCTATAGGTTTTCGACGCAAGTCGAAAACAAGTTTTCTACCCTTTTCTACCAAGGTAAATTACCTAAGGTTTTCTACTGACCCAACCCTGACTGTCACCCGAATTTAACCTCACTTTTTCCCAATTTATAATAAAGCCAACTTCAGCCCGTGACGTAAAATGTCGAAAAGCCACTGTTGTTAACTTCAGCCCGTCAATAAAACGCCATAAAGTTACAGCTCGTCAATGTAGGAGTAGATAATAGTATATTATGTATCAAGTTTTATAAACGCCATTTTAGTTACGAGTTTAATTAAGCACGAGCGAAGCTTGCGAGCGATTGTTTAATAAAAACGAGTGTCTAGAGAAGTTTATAAACGAGTTGAATACTATACTTTATCTACGACGAACACAAAACAGAATTTAAAGCCAATTTTATTTGTTAAAATTTTGACATCTGTCAACTGTCACCCGAATTTAACCTCACTTTTTCCCAATTTATAATAAAGCTAACTTCATCCCGTGACGTAAAATGTCGAAAAGCCACTGTTGTTAACTTCAGCCCGTCAATAAAACGCCATAAAGTGACAGCTCGTCAATGTAGGAGTAGATAATAGTTATTTATGTATTAAGGGCATAATAAGGTTTTTATGGTCCGAGGCGCTATTTCGAGCCCGAGCGCGTTAGCGCGAGGGCTAGAAAAGCGTCGTAGGACCATAAAAACCAGTTATGCCAGCAATGCATACAAAACTTTATGCACGATTAATATATTATTATTTTTAATATATTATTGTTTTTAAAGACGTTTACGTCAAAGATTTTTGGTTATAATTGTCATATTATAATGTCAACTGACATCAGTCAGTTTTAAAGTTTAAAAATGAATGAAATTGAGGAAGCAGCTGAAAAGGCAAAAAATTGCGGCCTGCTGCCGGAAAAATCAAAATCTTTATACGAAAAAACTTACTTCGAATATATCAAATGGTGTAACATTGATGTTTTTAATTTTTGACGTTTCATTATAGCCCGCTGGGCCATAATAACGCCCGCGGGCTATAAAAAGACGTTTACGTCAAAGAATTTTTGTTATAATTGTCATAATATGTCATCGTGCATAAAATATATTTAAATTTAGACACACTAGATTTAAACTTTATTCATAATTCGTAATGATTTATTTTACTTTAAGTTAATCTGGTTTAATTTATTATGGTTGGTAACACATTCTGTCAAAAAATTGTAGGTTATGTCCTCAAATTGTAAATATCTTAACTAAGGGAAGTGCTTTTGGGCGTTTGGATTTATTTACACAAATTGAATGTTTAACGATTAACCTGTGAACTTGTCCTAATTTCATCTGAGTAAACAGAAAGAAAAAAACCGATGAAAAAATTAATTTTATGGAGTTTTTAAATAGGTACCAATTTTTCTTATTATTGCTTAAGTTAATAGCTGGATGAGTAAATAAATACAGAATGGTATTAGAGCTTTAAGGGCTTAAAACTTTTGTATTTATTGAGTTTTTATTTATTTTATGCAAGAAATTTTTTTAGTAAACATTTTTTACAACTGGCAACGCGCAGCTACTTTGTTGGTTTGTATCTATGTACTCACAGAACACAAGTGTGTAACCAGTGGCGTATCACAAAAAATATAAAAAAACTTCTAATGCATATATTTTCTTTATCTTTGAAAAAATATCTTTTAAAATAATTTTCCATTACACCTTATGTCAAAAGGTATTCAGTGTTTTAATATATAACATTAATTACATAACACCCTGTAGTATAAGAAAAGATACAAAGAAATATAATATAAAAAACGTCAAGTTCAAAAATCAATATAAAGTTACTTAAAATTCTCTATTATATTGTATAAAATCATTTACTGTGTAAGGCTCGAGGTTTATTAGAAAGTGAAAAATTTCTTTTTTAAATCTATTTCTATTATTTAAAATTTTTATATCTCTAGGCAGTTCATTATAATATTTAATACATTTATACAGCACACTATTTTCAGTTAACGTTTTCTTATGGCGAGGGTAGTTATAATCTACCGTTCTTGTACGTATCAAAGTTATTCGTGTATAAAATGGCGTTTATCAAACTTGATACATAATATACTATTATAAAATTCCGCACCGTTTTTATTATTTTTATTAACTAAGAATTTTACATTTAAAAAAAAAATGCGATACCAAAAGTCAGAGTACATTTTATAAAATTTTCTCTGCAATCGTAGACCTAGAAGGTATAATTTAAATTGTTTAAGTAATTGTAATTAAAAATCAAGTTTTTTGAAAATATTATTTTTTTTTAAATATTCATCGTAAAGAGAAAACATTTTTCAACTGTTTTTCTTTTAAATGTTGTAAAATTAGGAACATACTTAAAATAATAAAAACTTTTCGAACTACTGGTCCGTTACTAGTAGTGTGTCACACTTGGTTAAACATGCCATGGCTCAGTAAACCTGGACATTTATTATACTATAGTATATTGCAGTCACTTACGTGTGTGCGCCAGTATTGTCGTTAATGTTAAATATTGTCGTTAATGTTAAAGCATACTTAAACTATACTCTATGTGTTAAAGCATACAGAACCCAATTGTTACTAATGATGCGTAAAAAATTAATAAACTTCAATAAATCAATTTTCTACAGTAAAAATAAAATTCAAAATTAAAATTAAAATTACTTTTTGCAGTAAATATGAAATTCAAAATAGTAGCCATGGCTGTTACAATATATAAAACTTATTGTGGTATCTTCAAGTTCACTAATACACATAATACTTTGTTTATACATATATTTTAACATTTTTATCACAGATTATAATTACATCGAAGTGTAGCGTGTCGAGTCGCAGAGAAGAAGCCTTTTTGCCTTCTGCGCATGTGCGCTTATTTGATATACAGGAAATGGACTCGGTTATTTCCTGTATGCATATATTTAAATTAAATATATCACACCTCCCTTTCTTAATTAAAATTAAATGATGTATTTTATTTTGGTAAGTATTTAGAGTAAGTTTTAATTTTTAATTTAGTTTGTAAGTATTTTTAAAATATTAATTTATTTTTAGTTTTATAAATATTTTTGTAATATTTATTTTTGTTTTATTTTTAAAATTATGTAAAACTAGGTTAAGTTTAAAATTATGTAAATAAATTAAGATTTAAGTTTACTTTTTTTTTTTGTGTACATATAATTATGTAATTTGTACTATGTTATTTTACTCTAACTACCTTCCTTTCTTAAAAAAAATATTTTGGGGGTATGTTATTTTTAATTTTTAATTAATCTTAAATATTTTATTTATTTCAAGTTTTGTACTTAAATATTTCATTTTACTTTAATCTTTTGATATTTAACAATTATAATAAATAAAGTTACATTATACAATAAACATTACATGTGAACTACAAAATATACATTTTTTTATTTTTATAATAAACAATCTTTAAGTTTATTTGGCATTTTTATTTCTCTACCCGATCTAGTTTTAATTAAATCTGTTTTAGAAGTATTTTTAGTATTAACATTGGGAATCTGGACATTTTTACTTGTGGACGGAATCTGTCCAGAATCTATTATTTTATTTTTAGGTTTATCTAAAACTTTTAAAATATTCGGTTTATTATTTATGATATTAACAACAGAAGTTTGTTCTAAATTGTCATTTAAATTTTTATTTAAAATTATGTCAGAATTATTTATATTGTCAATGTCCAAAAGGTCATTATTATGATCTTCGCGATCAATATTACGAATATCTTCATTTATTAGGTTATTTTGATCTGTAACTAAAACATTTTGATTAATTATTGCGTCAATTTCTGAATTTTTTTTATTTCTATGTTTTTCTAAACTATTTTGTGAAATTTTTATGGAATTTGAGACAAAATTAGGTATTTTTAAAAATTGTTTAAAATTTTCTTGTCTTCTTTTTACATGTTTTTCTTCTCTTGTCTTAAAATCTTGTTTCTCTGTGATGTCTTCCCTTTTTTCTTCTTTTCTTCTTCTAGCAATTTGGTCTACATGTCTTTTCCATAATAAATTGTCTCTTGTTCTGCATAAATACACTGATTTTCCTAATTTCTTCTCTATTTTTGCTTCAATCCAAAGTTTTTTATTTACCTTTCTGTAATCTCTTGCCATGACTTCTTCTTTAATCTCAAAGCTCCTTTTTCCTCCCTTTGATTCCGTTATTACTTTTTCTCTTCGTTTTTCCATATTTTCTACTGCATAATCTTCATTTTCTTCATTTACACTTGGTTTTCTCAACAAATCTAGTCTAGTTTTTAACTTTCTGCCTATCATAAGTTCTGCAGGGGTCATTTTTGTAACTGTATGTTCTGTGTTCCTAAAGCTTATTAAGAATCTTGAAATAAGTGTGTCCAATGATACTTTTTCATTTTTAGGATCCTCCAAAGCTGCTTTTAACTTGTTTTTCACAACTTTTACACAAATTTCAGCTGCACCATTTGAAGCTGGGTGATTTACGGGTGACGTTATGTGTTTAATACCATTTCTTTTATAAAAATCTAATATTTCTTGGGAAATTAGTTGTCTACCGTTATCTGAGATTACAAAATCTGGAATAGAAAATCTTGCAAACGTTGCTCTTAAATGTTTTTCAATTTCTTGACTAGATAAGTTCTTTAAAATGAATATTTCTAACCATTTACTATATGAATCCGTTAAAATTAAAAACATTTGATTTTTTATTGGTCCAAGAATATCAATGTGCACTCTTTCCATTGGTCTTCTTGCTATGGGCCATGGTGTTATAATATTTTTAATAGGGTCACTATGATTTTTAAGACATGGAACACAACTTTTTATCATATGTTCTATCTTTTCATCAATTTTTGGAAACCATACATAACTACGTGCTAAAGATTTTGTACGACAAATACCTTGGTGTGAAACATGTAGTTCTTCTAATATAATGTTCTGTAAACACTTGGGTATTATAACTCTAAATCCCCACAAAATACAACTATTTTCTATATGTAGTTCATCCCTTTTATTATAATATGGTCTTAATTCGTCATTATTTGTTTTTTTCCACCCTTTTTCTATGTTTTCAAAAACAATTTTTAAAATAGGATCTTTTAGCGTTTCTTGAGCTATTTTTTTACAATCTAAAGGCCATTCTAAACATGTTTCTGCAAAGTTTAAATAATCATTCCGTGTATATTCATTTGAAATTGTGTTAACTTTAACTGGTAATCTACTAAATGCATCTGCTACCGTATTATGTTTAGATTTTATATATTCAATTTTATAACTAAAACCTTTTATGAAAATAGCGTACCTCTGCAATCTGTCCCTGTTCCTTTGAGGAATACCTTTCTTTTCTCCAAAAATGCTTACTAATGGTTGATGATCTACTCTAATAATTATGTCTACTCCCTGGCAATATTGCTGAAACTTTTTTAATCCAAAAACCAGTGCTAACGCTTCCTTATCAATAATAGCATACGCCTCTTCATTTGGCATATATGTCCTTGATGTACATGCAATTGGTTTATCCACTCCATCTATTCGATGAAATAAAACAGCTGATATTCCGTTTAAACTGGCATCAGTGGCTAAAACTAAAGGAATATCGGGGTTAAAATGCATTAAAGCAATATCTTCCGCAATCATTTCTTTTATTTTAATAAAGGATTTTTCGCAGTCATCATTCCAACAAAAATTATTATTATTTGCCAATAATTTATAAATGGGGTGCATAATATGCGCTAAATTTTTCATAAATTTATTATAATAATTAACTAAACCACAAAATGCTCGCACTTCTGTTACATTTTGAGGTCTTGGTGCATTTTTAATAGCTGTTATCTTACTTTCAGATTTCTTTATTCCAAAACTGCCTATATCATGTCCCAAATAAGTTATCTGAGATGAAACAAAGACACATTTTTCACGTTTTAAAGTTAAACCGGCTTCACGCAATATTTTTAAAGCTTTTTTTAAATTTTCTATTAAATGTTCAAAAGTTTTACCCGATACAATGATGTCATCTATATAATTACTGATAAAAAAAAAAAAAAAAAAAAAAAAAAAAATCTTTATTGGATTAACCAAAGGGCTATCGACCTAGGTCCTTCTGCCCGTTTACAACAAATAATATGTAAATAATATGTTGAATGTTTTGTTATATACATATATATATATAAAAAAAAAAAAAAAAATATGAACTTATATATAAAAAAAAGAAAAAAAAAAATAACGAATTTTATCATAATACTCATATTTGAACCAATAAAAAGGGGAATGCTATTCCTTTAATAATTCCCACAAGGTGAGGCTTGGGTTTTTGCTTCTTCTTTGTTCATCTCCCAGATTGATGCACATTGTTTCGATATTTTTGATGTTAGATTCTGATTCTTTAAATCTTTTGGCGAGTTCTTGTATGCGTGTAAGGATGTTGGGAATATTAATAATCTCATAAAGGAGGGTGTTTGGTGGGTTATGGAGGGGGTTGTTGGGGTGTCGGGTTTTTGTGATATTTCTGATTGCTGTTGTTTCTGCAACTTCCAGTTTTTTAAGGCAAGTTTTGGTGCTGTTCATGAATAAGATACTACCATATTCCAGGATGGGACGACATATCATGGTGTATATTTTTTTTGCAGTATGTTTATCTATGCCTTTATTTTGGTACGTTAGAGATCTAAAGTGAGCCGCTCTGTTAACTGTGTTGGTTTTCATTATGTTACAGTGGGAGTTAAAGTTTAGTTTGTTGTCTATATTAATGCCCAGATATTTGGTTGATTGGCTTGGTGTGACTTGGTGGTTGTATAAACTGATTTGATCGTTTGGATAAGTTTTATTTTGGTGGAATATGATAAGTTGTGATTTATTAGGGTTAGGTCTGAGTCTCCATTTGTTGAACCAAAGGCATACTTTGTCCGTCAAATCTTGTAGCCGTGCTAGAGCCTCTTTTTTAGTTTTTCCGTGAGCTACTATTGCAGTGTCATCGGCGTATTGTAGCACATATTTGTCGAAGTCGAAATGTTTTGGGTCTTCATTGTATATGTCGTGACAGTAGATGTTATATAAAATAGGAGATAGTGGTGATCCTTGAGGCAGTCCCTGTTGGGGTGTTATTTTCTTTGATGTTCTCTCATTGATTTTTATAATTATTTCTCTGTCTACCAAAAATTCTTGGATTATTTTGATGAGCCAGTGCGGACAGTCAAGTTTTCTTAGCTTATATATCAGTCCTTTGTGCCATACACTGTCAAATGCTTTGTTAATATCCAAAAATAGAGCAGCTGTTTTGTGACCTCTAATTTTTGTTGCTTGTATGTTGTTGGCTAATATTATCAGAGGGTGAATCGTGGCTTTATTTTCTTGAAATCCGAACTGGTACATGGGAATTTTTTCTTTAACTTTTTCAAGAAGAAAATGTGCAATTAACTTTTCCAGGTTCTTGCCAATATTGGGAAGTAGTGTAATGGGCCGGTAGTTTTTTACCTTGGTATGGTCCAAGTTGGGTTTAGGGATTGTGATTATTGTACCTTTCTTCCATTCTGAGGGTATATAGCTGTTTTTAAGGCAAAAGTTGTACATTTTTATGATTAGTTGATGGATTTTGATGTTTAAATGTTTTATTACCGGTCTGGTGACATTGTCATGTCCTGGAGTAGTGTTTTTTCCTTTTGTAATTATCTCAAAATATAGATCTTCTTTTATCTTGGGTGGGTTGTTATTGAATTGGATATTTTTGTATGTGTTGTGCCATTGGTTAACCCTTTGGTAAAAGTAATCGTCGAAATTATTATTGTTTTCTTCTTGGTATGCTGATTTAAAGTGCTTATGGAAAATTTTTACCTTATCTTTATCTTCTGTGTACTTAATGTTATTTTCAATAATAGTGCTGTTCTTTCTGTGTTGTGTTTTGTATTTGGAAAGTCTTTTTATTTGGCTCCAGTATTTTTTTCCATTAAGTTGATTTATTTCTTCGCAAGTATTTATCCATTTATGTTTTCTGAATTCTTGTATAAGTTGATGGATGTCTTTGTTAAATTTGTTTATTCTTGTTTTAAAGTTTGGGTCCAAGTTTATTCTGTATTCTCTGTACATTTTACGTTTTGTTTTAATTAGTTTGATTATATATGGTGGAAGCTCATGTGTAAAAAATAGTGCTTCTTTTTTTGGTGTATATTTTGTAACCAATAGTTCTAAGGACTGGTTAAATTTGGTAATGTTAGCTTTATTAATCGTGAATTGGTTGTTTTCGTAGCACTTCATTTCCTTGTTTATTTTTTTAAAGTTACATTTGTTATAAATAAGTTTTGTTGGAGGTTTGTAAGTAAGGGAAATGTTAAGGGCTATTTCAATATTAAATGCCAGATGATCTGATCCTAAGTCAGGAACGATTTCCACATTTGTTAATATTGGAGCTAAATTTTCGGTGTACATCAATAGATCCGGCGTGCTGTCATTGTTGTGTGTCATTAAAAACGTGGGTGGGGTTTTATGTTTAATGAAATTTGTGCTGTTTATAAATTTGTTCAATTGTTTTGTTTTATATTTGTTTACATTAAAATCGCCTATAATGAGGCTGTGTTTATATAGGCTAGCTTTTGTAAAAATTGTTTCTTCTATTCTAGCAAAGGGGTGTATGTATACCAGAAAGATATGGAGTTTCTCGTTTCCCAGCGGGAATGTGACATGCAAGCATTCATTTAGTTGGTTATTTATGTGAGGTGGGTTGGCTTTTTGTAGGTTTAATGATGGGTGGGCCTGTATGAGACTACCCCCTCTGGATTTGTTGTGAATTTGGTTTCCAATTTGGCTTAGCGTTGTCCAGTCTCTGTAATCAACGTTGCTATTTGTAGAGGTTTTGGTTTCAACAAAAAGTGCACAATTTATATTATTGTTTTCTATGTAATTGTTGATTAGTAGTTTTCGTTTGGTATAGCTATTGATGTTATTATATATTATTTTTAGAGACATACTGAACATTTTTATCTTCATGTGTGGGTTTTGTTGGTGAGTCTTCATCAGGTTGGTCCAAGTCAAACATTAGTATGTACATTTTATTTCCTGAGAAAATTGCTTGTGTGTCTATGCGGAAGTTATTTACAAATCTGACTCTTAAATTTTCTATGATTTCCTCTCTGTTTGTGTTTGTTTTATTATTGATCGTATTTGTGTATTCATTAATAATGTAGTCATGTTTTGTGATTGCTTCATGTATTTTTGACTTTGTTACATGTATTGGTAGTTCCGAAGACTTTTTATTAATAGATTTTATTTGTATGTTCGGTATACCCGTGATAGGTGCCTTAGGGCGATTAGGGCATTTAAATGACCATGCTTGATGGTCAGTGGCCTTGCATGATAAACATTTTGGCTCTAGAGTAGAGGTACAAGTGGAGGTTCCATGGCTACCAAAGCATTTGCTGCATTTTGCTTGTGTTCTGCATTCTGATGATGGGTGTTCATAAGACATGCACTTATGGCAAGGAGAGGGAGCAGGTTTTGGTGGTAGGCTAGGATAGACTGGGTAGTGACAGTTTTTAAAAAACAAACCTTCTTTAAGTAGTTTAAGATACGTCTCTTCATAGGCTGTTATTATTCTTACTAATGTGGAAGGCTTACCAGTGCTTCTAGCGATTATTCTTTTGCAATATCGGTGTTTTAGGTTTATAGTTTTAAGGTATTCACTGATAACCAGGTCTTCAATTTCTATTTCCAATTTGCTTATTACAACTGAGAAGGTAGGTATTGAGGTGTCCTTTGCAGGTTGTATGTTAGGCATTGTTTCTTTATAGTTTAATATATTGTTATTAGTTTTAAGTTTATCGAGACCGGCTTGAATCTTCGACTTATCATTATCTGATTTTAGGATAAAGCCCTTTTTTGTTTTAATGATAACATCAGTTGAGTTAGGGAAACATTTTTCCCAATTTTCAGACATTTGGAGTCTTGAGCAGTTGATATTTGTTGGTGACAGGCTGTATATATGTTTATACTTTTTTTGTAGTATTTCATTCATTTTGTGTGAGAAATTTTTTGTTGTTTGCTTTGCTGTTTCGTTTGTTTTATGCTGGGTTTTTTTTTGTTTGCGGTGTTTTTTGTTATGTTGTTGATCGTCATCTTCACTATCTGTTTTATTTAAGGGTGTATTACCAATTATACGGGCTACTTCCAGGCTTGTAAGTTTATCAATCCTTTTTCTTTTATTAGAAGCTGTTGTAAATTCCATGGCTGATGCTTCTCCATCTCCATCGCCTTCAGAATCCATGATTCACAAACTTTTTCACTCGCTCTTATAAAAACTGCGTGTTATTTACTTCGCATTCAATACAAGACGTAATTACTGATATTTTCCATACCTTTAAATAAATTTTCTATATGTTTTTGTGCAATGCCAGAAGCTGGAGTTATTCCATACGGTAATTTTGTCATTTTAAATAAACCTTTGTGCGTATTGATCACTACTAAATCTTGACTTTCATTGTCTAACTCAAATTGTAAATATGCTCTACACAAATCTAATTTTGCAAAAAACTTACCATCTCTATGGTGCATAAAAATTTCTTCTGCTCTGGGCAGAGGGTATTTAAAATCTTCTAATTGTTGATTCAATGTTAATCGAAAATCTCCACAAATTCTTATCGTATTGTCAGGTTTTAAAACACATACAATTGGAGTTGCAATTTCACTATCATTTATGGGAATTAACGTACCTTCTTTTACCATTCCTTCTAACTGTTCTTCCAGTTGTTTTATATACACCAATGGAACATTTCTATGTTTCATAAAAATTTTTTTTAGCATTAGGTTTTAATTTTAATTTTATTTTAGCATGTTTATAAGTGCCTAATTTATCAGAAAAAACGTCAGAAAATTCCGCAACAAGTTTATTTTCAATTTCCTTAGCCTCAGATTCACTAACAAAACAAATGTTATTGCAGTTTAAACCAATATTAAAAGAATTTAAAAAATCACGTCCAAGTAAACATGGACCTCCGTTTCTAACAACGTAAAATTTAATATATTTAAATATATTATTTAAACCTACTTTTATCATAAAATAACCAATAGGTTGTATATTTTCACCTGTATAACCTTTCAAAATAATGTTGTCTTTAACAAGTTTAAATCGACCAAAATTCTGTTGATAAAATTCATAATTCATACCATTAATAGAAGCACCTGTATCTACTATCATAGAATATTCTTTATTACACATAAAAACGTTTAATTTAAAAGGATTACTATTGTTTACATGCGTATTTATATTAAAAATTTCAAAACTTTCATTGTTTACGTCAAAATTATCATTATTTAAGTAATTATGCCCTTTAAACTTTTTAATACATACTGATTCCAGATGTCCAACATTTTTACATTTCCTACAACGGTAATTTTTATATTTACAATGCGAAAAATCATGATTTGTCAAACCACAAACTCTACAAGTCTGTTTCGATTGCAATGGCTTCTTGTTGTTACTGTTTAGTTCCTTCTTCCCCTGTCTGGTGTCGCTCGTTGTCGTCCTACCTCGCTGGTGCATTTGCGCGGCGTTGCCAAACGTGTTTGTTGTAAGGTGTGTTCGATTTGTCTGATAACCGGTTGAATTGGACGTTTGTCTTCCATTGTTGTTGTATCTTCGCGCGAAATTCAAATTATGTTCATGAGTACTTACAATTTTAAGTGACTCCTTTTGAACAGCCAACTTCAACAAATCTTCTAATGATTTATTTTCAGATTCTTCACATATTCTATCAAGTATGTCGCTTTTTGTCATGCCACAAATAAATTGGTTTTTAAGAAATATTTCCAATTTATCACCAAAATTGCAATTTACAGCCAACGATCTGATTCTTGCGTACCAAGCACTTGAGTTTTCATCATTATTTTGTCTTGATTTATGGAATTTGATCCTTTCTCGAAATATTGACACTTGAGGGCTATACTGTTTCACTAATAATTGTGTTAAATGTTCATAAGTCTTTTCAGCAGGTTTTTCGGGAAAACACAAATCTCTCAAAAGTTTATAAGTATTCGTACCCACTAGACTAAGTAAAGTAGCAACTTTAATTTTCGGTTCTGTTATTTTATTTGCCGTAAAATATTGTTCTAGCTTTTCTTGATAAATAACAATATCATCATGAGTGTTGAATTCGTCAATTTTTCCAATGTTCGCCATCTTGACCTTGTCCACCAACTACGTCTTAACACTTTCAAACCAAATTGAATATTTTTCGAGGTAAATGCGTGGTCCAGTCCTTTCACTTACTTTAATAAAATCGTCGCCAATTATGTGGTATCTTCAAGTTCACTAATACACATAATACTTTGTTTATACATATATTTTAACATTTTTATCACAGATTATAATTACATCGAAGTGTAGCGTGTCGAGTCGCAGAGAAGAAGCCTTTTTGCCTTCTGCGCATGTGCGCTTATTTGATATACAGGAAATGGACTCGGTTATTTCCTGTATGCATATATTTAAATTAAATATATCACACTTATAATTTAATATAGTATTACAATCAAGTTTTTTGCAAATATTATTTTTCGAAAATATTCATTTTCCAAACTGTCAAAAAAAATTTATTAAAATATTGCGAACGAGTCTTAAGTTATCAATTTTTCTTTTAAAGGTTGTAAAACTAGGAACCTACTAAAAAAATAAAAACTTTACGAATTACTGGTCCGTTACCACACATGGTTAAACATGACATGGCTCAGTAAACCTGGACATTTATTATATATTATGGTCACTTACGTTTGTGCGTCAGTATTGTCGTTAATGCTAAAGCATACAGAACCCAATTGTTACTAATGATGCGTAAAAAATATGAACACTTTTAATTTAATTATTATTAGTATTACAAACAAGATCCATAGAGGGCCATTTTAATTTAAGTTAAGGAGATCCAAGGACTTCTGGAACTTTTGGAGATCAATTAATCTCAGATGTAAGCATATAATAAAATTGTTTTTTTTTTTAAAAATCACTGTATTTATATTTTAGTTTTAGATTTTGATGGAACTTTGAAAGCAGACGTCTAGGAAATACATATGGAGATCTATCAATCTTATATGTGAGTATATAATAAAATGTTTTTTTTTTAAATCACTGTTATATTATAATTTAGTCTGTTTTAGATTGGTTTAGATTGTGATGGAACTTTAACAGCAGTCGTCCAGGAAATCCATATGGAACCCTCCTCTTCTAACCTTCCACTTGTACCAATTTTGGTTTAATTGTACAATCTTAGGATTGTTCAATTAAATTTAAATTGTAGATGGATCTTGAAGGTACTTTTTGATTTTTGCCTCGGGCACATCGGTAATCCGTGCCAACCCGTTTTTAACGTGGACCACGTTGTTGCGCACCCGCACTAATCTATTTGTAACTTCATTATCTATCGTTTCCTTTTCAACCCTTCCTTTTATTTCCCCATTTCGACCCAACTGGGAGGACTTCAAGGAGAGCCAAGGACTTCTGGAACTTCTGAAGATCATTAATCTTATATGTGAGTATATAATAAAATTATTTTTCAAAAATCACTGTTATATTATAATTTAGTCTGTTTTAGATTGCTTTAGATTGTGATGGAACTTTAACAGCAGTCGTCCAGGAAATCCATATGGAACCCTCCTTTTCTAACCCTCTCACTTGGACCAATTTTAGTTTAATTGTACAATCTTTGGATTGTTCAATTAAATTTAAATTGTAGATGGATCTTAAAGGTACTTTTTGATTTTTGCCTCGGGCACATCGGTAATCCGTGCCAACCCGTTTTTAACGTGGACCACGTTGTTGCGCACCCGCACTAATCTATTTGTAACTTTATTATCTATCGTTTCCTTTTCAACCCTTCCTTTTATTTCCCCATTTCGACACAACTGGGAGGACTTCAAGGAGAGCCAATGACTTCTGGAACTTCTGGAGATCATTAATCTTATATGTGAGTATATAATAAAATTATTTTTCAAAAATCACTATTATATTATAATTTATTCTGTTTTAGATTGCTTTAGATTGTGATGGAACTTTAACCCAGATAGCACAAGTACGTTCGTAGGACGTTCGTAGGACTTCCACCCAGGACAACCCGAACGTCCTCAGGATGTCCGGGGTCTGCAAAAGTACGTTCGTAGTACGTCCACAGACTTCCGAAATAGACTGTTTCAGATGTCCTCAGGACGTCCGTATTTGACCCCAAGCTGTCCAATTCGGGACATATGAGGACCGAATTAGGACATAGTTTTATTATAATAAAAAAGCCTACAGACGTCCTGGAGAGGTATATCCTATAAGTTCAGTCCTGAAATTCTCTGAATCGCAAGATATTTTTTTAACACACTCGACTAGCTAGACATTATTCGTTACTGAGCAGATGAGGATGGAGATGGGGACTCCAAACAATTAATGTTCAGCTATGCCATTACGGACACACACTTCCAACTAAATATTGCAACCAATCGCTATTTATAGTTAGCTCGCGTGCGTAAGCAGCCGTGAGATGTATCGATTATGCCGCGGCAGGCCGAATTCCAGCCGTAAGCAGGCCGGCTAGGGCAAGCCGAAGGATTTTGCATCGGCATGCCGTATTCTGGCCGACTTCGGTTAGAACATGGCTAAACGGTACCGGGCCCCGGTAACCGGGGTAACATAACGCGGGCCGTAATTATAATTATATAAGTAAAAAAAAATGGACATCTTTTTTTTAAATCTTTTATCGTGCTTGATTAAAGAGTATTTTTAATAAAAAACAAGGTGTAATTTTTTTTGACTTAGACCCTTTATAAAGGGTGATATATCAAATTGTATCTTCAACTTTCGTCGCAGGCAGAAAACCGATGGACGTACTGAGGCCTAGGCCTCAGGATGTCCATCGGCCTAGGCCTCAGTACGTCCATCGGTTTTCTGGTCGCGACCGTCTGTAAAGGATTTAAACCGGATGTCCTCAGGACATCTTGTGCTATCTGGGAACAGCAGTCGACCAGGAAATCCATATGGAACCCTCCTCTTCTAACCTTCCACTTGTACCAATTTTAGTTTAATTGTACAATTTTTGAATTGTTGAATTAAATTTAAATTGTAGATGGATCTTGAAGGTCCTTTTTGATTTTTGCCTCGGGCACATCGGTAATCCGTGCCAACCCGTTTTTAACGTGAACCACGTTGTTGCGCACCCGCACTAATCTATTTGTAACTTCATTATCTATCGTTTCCTTTTCAACCCTTCCTTTTATTTCCCCATTTCGACCCTACTGGGAGGACTTCAAGGAGAGCCAAGGACTTCTGGAACTCTGGAGATCATTAATCTTATATGTGAGTATATAATAAAATTATTTTTAAAAAATCACGGTTATATTATAATTTAGTCTGTTTTAGATTGCTTCAGATTGTGATGGAACTTTAACAGCAGTCGTCCAGGAAATCCATATGGAACCCTCCTTTTCTAACCTTCCACTTGGACCAATTTTAGTTTAATTGTACAATCTTCGGATTGTTGAATTAAATTTAAATTGTAGATGGATCTTGAAGTTACTTTTTGATTTTTGCCTTGGGCACATCGGTAATCCGTGCCAACCCGTTTTTAACGTGGACCACGTTGTTGCGCACCCGCACTAATCTATTTGTAACTTCATTATCTATCGTTTCCTTTTCAACCCTTCCTTTTATTTCCCTATTTCGACCCAACTGGGAGGACTTCAAGGAGAGCCAAGGACTTCTGGAACTTCTGGAGATCAATTAATCTTATATGTGAGTATATAATAAAATTATGTTTTTTCAAAAATCAATTTTATATTCTAGTTTAGTCTGTTTTAGATTGCTTTAGATTGTGATGGAACTTTAAGAGCAGTCGTCCAAGAAATCCATATGGAACCCTCCTTTTCTAACCCTCTCACTTGGACCAATTTTAGTTTAATTGTACAATATTTGGATTGTTCAATTAAATTTAAATTGTAGATGGATCTTAAAGGTACTTTTTGATTTTTGCCTCGGGCACATCGGTAATCCGTGCCAACCCGTTTTTACGTGGACCACGTTGTTGCGCACCCGCACTAATCTATTTGTAACTTCATTATCTATCGGTTCCTTTTCAACCCTTCCTTTTATTTCCCCATTTCGACTCAACTGGGAGGACTTCAAGGAGAGCCAAGGAGTTCTGGAACTTCTGGAGATCATTAATCTTATATGTGAGTATATAATAAAATTATTTTTCAAAAATCACTGTTATATTATAATTTAGTCTGTTTTAGATTGCTTTAGATTGTGATGGAACTTTAACAGCAGTCGTCCAGGAAATCCATATGGAACCCTCCTTTTCTAACCTTCCACTTGGACCAATTTTAGTTTAATTGTACAATCTTAGGATTGTTGAATTAAATTTAAATTGTAGATGGATCTTGAAGGTACTTTTTGATTTTTGCCTCGGGCACATCGGTAATCCGTGCCAACCCGTTTTTAACGTGGACCACGTTGTTGCGCACCGACACTAATCTATTTGTAACTTCATTATCTATCGTTTCCTTTTCAACCCTTCCTTTTATTTCCCTATTTCGACCCAACTGGGAGGACTTCAAGGAGAGCCAAGGACTTCTGGAACTTCTGGAGATCATTAATCTTATATGTAAGTATATAATAAAATTATTTTTCAAAAATCACTGTTATATTATAATTTAGTCTGTTTTAGATTGCTTTAGATTGTGATGGAACTTTAACAGCAGTCGTCCAGGAAATCCATATGGAACCCTCCTTTTCTAACCTTCCACTTGGACCAATTTTAGTTTAATTGTACAATCTTAGGATTGTTCAATTAAATTTAAATTGTAGGTGGATCTTGAAGGTACTTTTTGATTTTTGCCTTGGGCACATCGGTAATCCGTGCCAACCCGTTTTTAACGTGGACCACGTTGTTGCGCACCCGCACTAATCTATTTGTAACTTCATTATCTATCGTTTCCTTTTCAACCCTTCCTTTTATTTCCCTATTTCGACCCAACTGGGAGGACTTCAAGGAGAGCCAAGGACTTCTGGAACTTCTGGAGATCAATTAATCTTATATGTGAGTATATAATAATATTATGTTTTTTCAAAAATCACTGTTATATTATAGTTTAGTCTGTTTTAGATTGCTTTAGATTGTGATGGAACTTTAACAGCAGTCGTCCAGGAAATCCATATGGAACCCTCCTTTTCTAACCTTCCACTTGGACCAATTTTAGTTTAATTGTACAATCTTAGGATTGTTCAATTAAATTTAAATTGTAGGTGGATCTTGAAGGTACTTTTTGATTTTTGCCTTGGGCACATCGGTAATCCGTGCCAACCCGTTTTTAACGTGGACCACGTTGTTGCGCACCCGCACTAATCTATTTGTAACTTCATTATCTA